TTCTTTGTATCTTTAACGCTTTCAAATTTGGGTAAAACATGAACATTCCACGTATGGGAATCTTCTGCTAATCTTTCTTCTTCCTTAAGTTGCTGTTCCCTTTGTTGCTTTCGTTCTTTTTCCTCGCGTAACTCTCTTTTACGTGCAGCTTCTAAAATTGCAGTATATTGCTTACGATGACGTTCTTCCTCCAAAGCATTCTTTGCAGGTAAGTTTGCTGGTCTGGGCTGTTGTATTAGAGCTAAACTTCCTCCTACTTTATCGATATTTCTCGACGGACTACCCGTAGGAGTTGATTGCTGAGAACCTTTATTTTTCCAAGAAAAGACATTTTTTGCAAACAATGTATTTAATCCCCAGCGCTTTGATTTTTCTTGTTTATCTACAACAATGTGCTGTTCGTCGGATCCTAAGAAACTTCCAGAGGGTGATACTTCGCTAAGGGAAGACACTGTACTGCTACATGAACGAGGTAAACTGTTTCTAGGGCTACTATTTGCACTGCCACTTTCAAGTTTCATATATTTATCTCCATCAATTTTTGACACTATACTGGCTGACAATTCTTTACCATTGCATGGCGATTCTAAATACTGTGATTTACAGTCATAATGCATATCGTTCTCTTCCATAGAATATATCTGTTTTGTAGTAGGATTATAAGCCAAAGACATACTCTCCAAGGCATGACTGAGACTGGTACCTGCCACTCCTACAGAAACTACATTGCCAGCGTCGTACCATTTATTTTCACGAATGTGTACACATAAAGCTTTTGTCTTTACCGCTGGCATAGTAACTACATCACATGCCAAAGCCTCATTTACATTGACACTGTTACAACTTACAGAATCACCATTCAATGATACTAATTGCTGTTTCCCTACTTTCGGAGCAATATTATTGGCGATATAACAATTGGAATCACGTCCAGCTACTTTCAAAACATGATAATTATTGGATGGATTGTTATAACGTGATATCAAATATGATGCGGTCTTTTCAGACGCGACACTCTGACCATTACTCCCATTTAAATGCTGAGGTACGGGAGTCTTCATGGCTGATAGGTTTGTCCTAACCTTATCAACACGTAGATAATCTTCTCGACAACCCATTCACACGATAAATCATTGAACGTGTAACAAGTTAATTTCTGTTTATGCATTCTCTTTAATCGTTTAGTTTGCCTCCTCGTTTAATCATAGCACCGATATCATAATTCTTAATAATCCTTTCATATATAAATCCATTCCAACACTTGGCAACACCCAATATACAATCTGTCATAGTTGGAACAGCTGTTACATCGTTACTTTCGTATCAACTTGTACCATTTTATTCAATTATTTTTACATAATATACTGATAAAATATTGATTCAATGATTGCCCCCAATTAAATCATCGATATAAATACAAGGTGAAGAAATTGCGTGGATATTTGGCAGAACACAGCATGTATTGACGGCGATCACTACCTATCCGAAAACTTGATTTATCTTTATGCCGTATTTTTAATACCTACGTAGATTGGACGGGACATGTGTTGATAATTGAAAACGAAGGCAAAGAGCAAAGTCTATGGTGCATAAACGCCATATTGAATGGATGCATCTGTTATATCTTAACCTCGCAATTTCTCAAGTACCAACATTTTGATTGGTCCACCCTAACATATATATATCTATATATTTATAATCGACGAATTTCAAAATATGCACTTTTATTTATATTTGTTTACGTTCATATGTAATATTTTATGCTGATAAAATATTTTTTTGTAATATTTCCATTTTTTACTATTTTATCTCCTATACGTTTCATAACGAACACATATGCATCTACTATGGACCTCTTAATGATTTCAACACGTAATAACCTTTAAAATAATCGTGTACATATGACTTGTGTTAATAAAAGATTTTTACGGTACATAAACTATATATAATGATTCGTCAAATAATCTGTAGAATGTATATCTAATGAATATGTTTAAACGAACTGATAAAGACGACAATAATTATTCCTCGGTACCTACGAAACGCTTGAAACTTGATGGATCGAGATCTTCATATTCTGGAGCAAGATCTAAGAGTGATTCCTCGAATAAACAAAATGTACGTTTTGAAGATGTATGGGGCGATGATTTTGCCGAAGAAGAGATCGAGAAAATGGACTTTGTAGCATCCCAAGCATGTTTGCATGACGATAATGTTTTCCACAATGAATCCAAGGGAAAACAAAATTCTCTTGTCACAAAAGAGAATCTACCATCGACAAGTAAACAAATGTTCTATTCCACTAATACAGAAAATCCTATGTCACAAGTAAAGACATTTACACAAAGTGATGACTATACTGATTTTGAAAAGAAATTACTATATAAGCAGAATTATAACTCAACGTTTCAATTAAATAGAAATATTACAATATCAGATAACAATGAAAATAAAGATTTAGAAAAAGAGTTAAATAAGTTAAAGTTAGAGAGGAACAAGTTATTGAATGACTTTATAATGAAAGATGGAGAAACGGTTTTCTTAAGAAATCAATTACAGCAAACGCAGGTACGTGCAGAAAATGATAAAGTAGAGAAAATGCATTTAATCGAAGAACAGGCGAAACGACATAGAACAGAGATTAATCAAATCTTTAAGGAAAAAGAAGATTTAAAAACTCAACTTGATTTACAAGCTTTGGAGATAGAAAAACTTTTGGAACGATGCAAGTTGTTAGAATCTGGACATATTAAGTTGGTAGAACCACATACCGCTAATACGATGACACCCAATATTAATCGTAAAATTAATATAAAGAGTCATTCATTGTCTAATATCAAGTGTACAAAGAAAAAGGATGCGGATACTCAAGTATCAAACTTGTATCATAGAAACAGTCATTTTTTAAGAACATTGATATTTCATTATCCTCTTTTGAAAATACCATCACAATGTTTTCGGCCTGGATTGCCAGAAAAATCTCTGGTTGAAATTCAGATAACAGAAAAAATTGGAAAACAAAATTTACTTATTTTACAAGAAGAGCAAACATTTAGAATTTTTGAAAATCCAGATCTAGTAAAGCCCATAATCACTACGATAAATGGTAGAAAATTATCTTTAGAATTTGTCCTATCAGATCTTGCTATAATGAAAAATAAGATAAGCTCAGAATTGGATTCTGATGCCTGTATACCTATTATAAATAAATTAGTTTCAACTTCAAGGGAGTTGATTATAAATACGATAATTGTTTTGCGAACTATATTCAATGCCATGAAAAATGATGACATCAGAGATATGAACGATCTATATTTTTCTGATGTTTATAAAGCTCCAATTTTTTATACCAAATCTACATGCGATGCAAACGCATGGCATGAAAATGAGCACGGAATAGAAGCTAGAAGGATGTTTGGTATTTTATCGCATATTGCATCCGAATCATTTTATCTGAGTAATTATATAGCAGGACAAACATCATTAATTGTAGATGAAGATACGTCTTATGAAGAGTATTCGAAATATATGATACGTTATAATTCTTGGGATAAAAAAGGTCTAGATTTTGAAATGTTAGAAATGATTTTACAGCTAGTAACTTTAATAGGACTAGTGAGAAGATCTCATCAATTTAGTGGCCTTATAAGTGCAATTGCAGAGCTTTTATGTAATGTATCCAAAAAAGTTGGATATTGCGATAACGGAATAGATTTTGTTTTCGAAATATTCAAAGAATTAGTGTTTTCAAGACCCCTATCACTTTGCTACGTTCCATTGACCAAAATGATGACGACCCTTATTAATTATAATACGTTTCTTGAAAATATTTGTATAGATCCACATAACGTGGGAGAAAGTATCTGGGAGGATCCTCTACGTTTTACATCAGACGCTTGCATTTTGCAAGTATTTATAAGACAGATTGAAAATGTTGACTTTGATCTCATAACAACAATAAATATAACACATTCGTTATTAACATTTATACAAACTGCATTACACTCAAATGCTCTTCTTGTAAAAACTGGAAATTCTTGCAATTGTTGTATGAAACTATTGAGACTCATTATAAAAATGTTATGTCGATGCTCAGAGGTCTCTTTGGGTAAATTACAATTTGAAAATGACCTATGTATATTCAATGATGACTTCCTTTCGATGAACATAGATTATAATTTCACGGAAAGATTGAATAAACGGTATATACATTGTACTGAATTGAAGAAATATGGTATAAATGAATACATGAAGCAAATGTATCCAAAAGATCGATCAGACAAAAATTATTGGATTAATATCAGAAGGAAACAATTAACTACGATGAGAGACGGAATTAAATTTTTACGACATTTAGCAACGTGCGATCCAGATTTTATGATACGATTATCGGATATCGAAGATTCATTTCATTTATTTATGAATAATATTGGTACCTTTGATAATTTAATCTTACACGAAAACGAACGAGAAGCTATAAATCTCATCAAATCGACATTCATATTCGACAAAACTTTATTATCTGAAGGTCAAGCGAATAAAAAGAAAATCAATCTAAATGAGTTAAGTATTGCGACGAATTTTCGAAAGGAATTTTCTGATTTTGCTTCGCAAGAAATGGTAAGCAAAAATAGTAATATAGAGGATTATCATAATATATTCGTAGCGTATAAGAATTTGTACAGTAACAAAAGTAAACAATATTGAAATCATTCTATGTAACGAAGATGGAATAATTAGATGTAAAAGAATTCGAATATATTAAAAGAATTTCGATATTTCGATCTTTTTCCTTCTACCTTAATTTCTTATTTCTTTTATTAATTGAGCTCATTTTATTTTCGTCAAACGATAATAGAAAGCAAAAATCGATCGATCGATCGATCGATCCTTACCTTTATATCGTATTTTTTTAATTATCTTTCGAACATTATATCCATTTATTATATACAATTAATTTAATCTATACAAATTTTTTTTATTAATTAATAAATCAAATTTGTACGTTCAAATTGATATTTTATTCATTTTTCTTAAAAATAATTTTTCATTTTGCTCATTGGTCGTGAATAGAGGTCCGTTTTTTCGTGTAAACCAGAACGATTGGAATTGGCCAACGAAACTACTGTAATTAACCAATCATCGTCTAGTCTTTTAGTTAAGGTGAAAGTAACATTATGGCAGTGATTTCATTGAAATGTAATAAGAAAAAACACCAGAATTAGTATAGACTATATACTGTGTAATGTACGAAACAGCTGATCACCAAGGGTAGTAAAAAAGAAAATCTATATTATAATTGGAAGACTATTAAAAAGTAGGTTAAAAAAAGGTCATTCGAAAAAGACAATACTGTTTCGCGAATATTTTACATCAAGATTTATTTGTGGAGTAATATAGAATTACGAAAGTGTGAGTTCTCTGGTATAACAGATGTTTGTTGTGAGAAATGTCACAAATTGATATTCAGGATTTATTTGATAAAAGCAGGTGAGATGACCAGCTGTGTGCAATAATGTGTATCCATGTAACATTAATCGTAACGATTTTAAAGTAATTTTTTTCGCATAAAAAACGATGACAATATATCATTCTACAATTTACATATCTCACGTTGCATAAATATAATATATAAATATATTATATCAATGAAATAATCTGTAAATATCTTCTATAATGAAACTAACCTATCGTATAGGATTTTTATAACATATATTCATCTACTTGAAATATTTATACATACATACATACATACATACATACATATATATATATGTATGCGTGTGGATATATATATATCAAATTACAGACAATGAAATGTAAAAATTAAAACTATTGGCTTCATATAAATATTATCCATGTTTAATAATTTTTCGATTTTTTGTAATGAATTAATTAATGTATATTCTGCAGGTTTTCCAGTAGCTGGTATCGTATACCTTTAATATTATATATACCAGTGGGTATAATACTTGTATTAGTACGACTTTTCATCACTCTACAGCTTTGGCTTCTTGCATCATTATTACCAGATTGCAACACACTTCGTATATATTTACATCATTGTCTTAGTTTTGCATTTGGTATTGTGGTCAAAGTAGATCCAGAAGGGGAGTCTAGAGACAAACAGTCAAGAATTATAATTGCTAATAATGTGTCAGTTTTGGATCATTTCGCTTTGCATCGAGCGATGCAAACATTAATGCCTAGTGTATGGGAAATACCTACTGCTCTCAGTTATGCATTGGGATTGCAAGAAATGAATATGAGTAGTAAAGAATCTCTAATTGCAAATATAAAACAATGTCTTTCGACATCTCATTGCAATATTGCATTACAACCTGAATTTGGTACAACTAACAGCCGCATTGCTTTATTGAAATTCAACTCATGGCCCTTTAGTATAGAAACTTCTGTTCAACCTGTTGCTATTAAGGCAACAAGGCCCTCAATTACATCTGTACAAATTACATCGTTGGCATCTACATGGTGGACAGATGTTTTTTGGTTTATGTATGTTCCATATACAGTTTTTACCTTAAAGTATTTGAAAATTAAAAGAAATACAGATCATGAATTATTAACGAGAGAAGTAGAGAAGGATATAGCGAATGCTCTAGGACTTAATGTGAGTTCTCATACTGTGTCAGACAAAGCAGAATTTGAAAAACGTTGCATCATGGAAAAAGCACACACCAGAATACTTCCTGCAAGAGGATCACAAAACACAACAGGAATGCATAATATAGAAATACAAAGAATGGCAAGACAGGTCAGTGAAGTGCTTCCATTCGTTCCACATAATGTGATATTACGCGATCTTTGTAAGTACAATATCTCTCTCTCTCTCTCTCACTCTCTCTCTATCTCTATCTCTACACACATCCCACTCATATCTACTTTAAATCAACATTAATTAATAACATATGAAATAATATTATTGTTGTAGTAAAAACCAGGAATGTTGATATCACTATAGCCAATATTCTTGATGGGATAGTTGCTTATACTCCTGAATCTAATTCTCAGACAACTACATCTGTAGCATCTGCGAGCAAAATACAAACAAGTGTAACAAAAGATAATAATTGTTTTGGTACAATTTCATTCCAAGAAAGGAAAGCTCAAATGATCAGAGAAGCTAGGGAAAGGTATATTCAAAAACATGGACTGAAAAATTGCTGACAGTCTTATTCTTCTTTTATCATAATCATAATATTGTCATTAAGAATAAATATATTATTGATGTTTTACTGCATATGTATTTACGATTATATCACATAAATATAATTTTATTTCTAAAAAATTATTGTGTTACTTATTATGCATATAATCGTTGTAACAATTCTTGGAATCATTTTATTTTTTGGGGACTGTACAAAATATTACATATTGAATGTCAAATATATAGCAGTCTTTTAATATGTATAAATTCAATGATTTTGTCTAATTTAAATTTAGTCATACATATGAGAATAATATTCCTGATAAACTTGAATATAAGCTTCTTTCTCTGTAGGTGTCATTTCTGCTATTAATGTATCATTAACATCTGTAATAGCAACACTTTTTCCAGCCACACTGACTGTTGGTACTAAATCGTCATCTTCTGAATCCATAGTTTCCACTTCACCTACGTGACATTAATAAATTTGGTAATATATATATTGTATGTAAAGTATAGATAATAGTATATTGTTCCATGTATAATGTACCTGTATCAATAGTTTGCATGTCATTAATCTCTTCATTATCACTACTATCACTGGATTCTTGAGGTAATACTGCTTTTATAGCAGATGTTGTAGAATTGGTCCCACCTTTCTTTTCATGCGCCAATAATACTGACATAATATCTTCACCCTGCTTAGTATTTGTAGTAGTAGTATTTGTGGCAGTGGCGGCTGCTTTATCCAAAATAGTTTCCTGTGTATTTATTCCATCAGCCTGAGAGCCATCAGCATTAATAACAGTACTTTCCATCATCCAAATAGGTCTTTCTTTTCTACGATTTGCTGCATTATCTTCGGAAGATTCATCTCCAATGGTAACATCGACTCTTGTATCTTCTACCATAAAACCAGATGTTCTTGTTGCTTCGCCAGACCATTGTTCATTAGGTGCCCTAAGATTGCTTGGTTTTCTTGTGTCGATACTGAAAAATAAGAAACATTGGCAGAGAATGTAGAATAATATAAACATACGATATACCATGAAATGTTCAATATATACCCTCGAATAGTATTAATATCCACTGGCTCGGGTTCTAATATTTCAGGTGCCAATTTAATACCTTCCACTGCCCTCAATAAAATATATAAAGGTTCTAATTGTTCATTAAATTTGGCTAATAGCAATCTAGAATCTTTTTTAGGAAGAGCAGACTGATCCTCTTCAACTATTTCTCGACAAAATGTACATCTGAATTCACCAGTTGACATATCAAACAATTGATCTGCCTAAATCAATCAAAGATTTTAATGTATAGTGATCAGATTTATTATTACATTAGTTACATTTTTACAAAACTATTGATTTAACTTACTTCAAGATCTGTAAACGTTTTTAAACAATTTGTACATTTGAAACTGGCTCTACTAGTTGCATCTCGCTCTTCGGTTTCCATTCTTTTTCTCATTAGATCCAGCTTATATTTTACCACATTTACAAAAGTCTAAAATAATTTAAAGATTATGTATAACAATGTGATTTGACTATTAAGCACAGATTATCTTTTATCACATATTTTTATTTACCTTATAATTAATAAAATAGTAATTGACTTTCTGTGCTTTTCCATCAAATCCAGTTTCCATTCTTAATCTAACTTGTATAAATTTGTCATTACGTAGAGTAGATATTCTTGCCCTTAACATTTTACGTTCAAATTTTAACAGTTCACAAATGTCATCCTCTTTCATACCTGTTTGAATCAAGCCTCATTAGCAACATAAAACTATCTTAAATAATGGAGCATATATATATATGTGTGTGTGTGTATATATACATATATATATATATATATATATATATATATATATCAATATATATATATATATATTGATCTAAAAATACTTACACGGATTTCTTACTAACATATCCACAATTAAAGCATCTTCTATAGTATAAAAGCCACGTACAACAAGACGTGCTAATTGTTTCAAACTACTGGGAACTTCTGTAACAACTTTTTCTTCCCCACTCATTTTTTGTTTGATATATAACTATATATAGCAATAATGTATATAACAAAAATTGGTAAATACAATTATTCCATCGATAAAATATTTTTCTTAATACGGCTGCAAACAAATATAAATTATAAAGCATAAATAAAATTATTTATATCATTGAACATGTGATTTAATTTTATTCAACGTTTTCAAATTACATTCTAAATCAAATTAATATTTGATATTGTGAGTAAACTAACCTAAAAAATCTTTATGTATTCAATAATTATTTTGTATAATACACCTATTATTATAATGTAATCAAATAGAAAATGATTTATTTTCTACTACAAACGAGAATAAATTTAATAAAAAAATGTTACGAATCATAATTATAATCATACAAAAACAAACTACTGTTACTCGTCACTTGGCGTGAGGCTTGTTTGTATCGTTATAGCTCTTAGGTTATATGTACTTAGCATCATCAATGCCATCTGTCAAGTTAAATTAGTGACGTATTAATTACTAAATAACCTAAAATAAATACTAATATTATAAATTATTAATGGCAGCGATAGATAAAGTTAAAATTATTGTAGTTGGTGATTCTGGTAAGTAAATCGAACAATCTATAAAAATTTTATTTTTATAAATTCTCTTTAGTAAAAATAAAAAAATATGATAATCGTAAAAAATGCAAAAATACTTTTAAAGAATACGTTTTCTTATGTAAAGTACAATATTCTTAATATATCTTTTGCAATAAAATAAAGTAGATCAATTTTCCTATTGCTTATTGTGATTTTATAAATGCTACAATATGTTTTAACAAATTTATTTTGTATACAGGTGTTGGTAAAACATCATTGACCCATCTTATATGTCATCAACAACCAATCAGCAATCCTTCTTGGACAATAGGTTGTTCTGTTGAAGTGAAATTGCACGAGTATAAGGAAGGCACCCCTAATCAAAGAAGATATTTCATTGAATTGTGGGATATAGGTGGAAGTCAAAACCATAAAAATACAAGATCTGTCTTTTACAACCCTACAAATGGTACAGATGAAGAAAAAAAAGTTTTCTACCCAAACAACTAATATAGTCTTAATGTCTATCAAATTTGTTTATATTTTTTAGGTATAATATTGGTTCATGATTTAACAAATCGTAAATCACAACAAAATTTACAGAAATGGTTACAAGAAGTATTGAGCAAAGATGGAAATTATTCAAAATCGAAATCATTCGATGATTTTGATCCTGAAAAATTTGTAGGATCGACTCAAGTAAATATAGTATTGAATAACATTTATATATATATATATATATATATATATATATATATATATATATATATATGTATATATATATGTCTATATAAATATAATTGAAAATGAATGTAATTTATAGATTCCAATATTAGTTATTGGTACAAAACTTGATTTAGTATCGGAAGTAAGATCAAACATGCACAGACGTACTTCAACTATTGCTGAAGAATGTGGAGCTGATGAGATATTTTTGGTATGTCAACATTTCATGGATATTCATATGTTTAATAAATAAAAAAATATTTTATTTCTAGGATTGTTGTCAAGTGAGGGCATTGGCAGCTGGTTCTAGTTCATCCGTAAAACTCAGCAGATTTTTTGATAAAGTCATTGAAAGGCGTTACTATGCTATTAGGGAAGGAAGTAGTTTAGACAAACGAAGAATGACCACCTATACATCAACATACAATCCAAAACTTTATCATAATGATTAAAAATATAGTTTTTTAATCCCTTTTTGTGAATACTTTATTTGTTTTTTTTTTTTTCCATTTACATATTATAGTAACAAATATTTGGAAGTGAACCTTGACAAATATTATATTGTAAATATTGTATTAATATTGATTATACATATGAAATATACGGGTTTATAAATTCGTTACAAATAAAACGAAGCTACGATTGGCTGAATGCCAACATTCTATATAACATGGACTTCATCGAAAGTTTTTTAACACATATAGTTCCTAGTTATCTCTTTTTAAGACTTTTATCTTTTGCAATAATTAATGAAAAAAAATTGATTATGTATTCGGACCAATATAAATTCGATCAAAAAATACTTAATTTTTGTTTAAACAGGGCAAAAACGATTCTATCTAAATACGGTAACAGGAAATGACATTTGAGTTAAAGATTGAACGTGTACTTCCTCTTCAACGTATACACATGCTCGTGGATGTAATAAAGACGTTAACTACGTCATTGTCTTGCTTTTTTTAACCTCCCTTACGTCATGCTGGTAGCGCGCAATACATAAAAATTTCAAAAGATCTTTCCCGTACTTTCAAGAATAAGTACCGAAGTGTATATATGTTGTAAAAGCTAAAGACATCGTTAGTAGTGAAAATGTCGCGTCAAGTTAGATAAGAGCGTAGAATATTTGATAATGATCGTGACGTAAATCACCTGACTTTCAAACCTGCGTATAGACAAGAGACAGATTTTTTTCCTCTTCTTGTACCTTGTACAAGATTTTTATTAAAAAAATTTTAATTTCGGTATGATCTTTTTGTATCTTTCCATAAGCGTAACGTCCGAGCTGTATTATGTTTCCATATTGATCGCGTTCAGTTAGCAACTTCTTTTATGAAGCGCAACGATATGAATAAATACGTTATATAAATTTTCTATCCATTCGAGCATATAATTACGTGTATCTCTCTGTGTACATTGAACTGAATAAATTGGAGAAGGAAAATTCTTTTTTTTATTTCCTTACTAATGTATGTAATATTCCATTCATTACTCATTGTTTTACTGAGCATGTGCAATTCAAATTCCTGATGAGACATATCTCTTTGATGCTGACTAAGGCACAACCATATTGATTATATTTTATTTCAAAAATACAATAAAAACAGTGAATAGAATATTTGGAAGAAGTTTCCTTTTACCTACAGAAATTTATAATCTATTTTTTTCTTTCAGAATAATTACGACCACAATGATTAGCCTTCTTGTGACAAAGTATTCTGGTTTAAGTTACATTTCACAATTACTGCTACGATCACAACCTGTTTTTTCCTTTCAGTATTGTGGATATGTTCATGATGCAAAGTTAAACGTTACTAATGGTCCTATTGGAGCTTTGAAAGAAAAAATATATAAAAAAGAATTAATGAATGATGAATGTCAGTTAAAAGTAGTAAAAAGTTTGCAAAAAATATATGAAGAAGTTCATGAATATAAACCAGATCAATTTAATGTATTAGGAAAATGGTTTGGATGGAAAAAAAAGGATCCACCAAAAGGGTTGTATCTTTATGGTGCTGTTGGTGGTGGTAAAACAATGTTAATGGATCTTTTTTATAATTGTTGTCAGGTATCTCAAGTTAGATTTTAAGTAAGTAATGCACATGGGGAGCCAAAATATGTTAAAGAGTTCTATGACAAGGTGTGATATTTTTTCAGTGTAATTCTATAGTATAAAGGACATGCTGCACAGGAAATATACCTTGTACAGTCAATGGAATATATGTTATAAAGACAATCATAGAAGCGATGTAAAGGTATAATGGCTTTCCATATGCAATACAGAATAAAATTAAACTTTGTTTTAATGTCAAGTAAGATTGTTACTACCGTTGACTATGTTGCTTTAGATTCAAAGTAAGAAACGTGTACATTTTCATTCCTTCATGCTTGATGTGCACAAGAAAGTTCACGAGGTTAAGAAAACTATAGTGAGAAATACTAATAGTACTAAACTTCAACCGTTTGATCCAATACCACCGGTAGCTGCTGCTATTACAGAAGAAGCTTGGTTATTATGTTTCGATGAATTTCAGGTTTCAATTTGACAATATTTTTCTTTAAATAAAAACGTATCTTTGCTTTTTATATTATGTCATACTATATATTTCAGGTGACAGATATTGCAGATGCAATGATATTGAAACGATTATTTACTGAATTGTTCAATAACGGTGTGATTGTTATTGCAACAAGCAATAGATCGCCCGATGATTTGTACAAGAATGGATTACAAAGAGGAAATTTTATACCTTTTATAAAAATCTTAAAAGACCGCTGTTTCGTTGAAACATTAGATTCTGGTGTTGACTATAGGTCGAGGGCTGGGTCTGGAGATAATAAAATATATTTTATGTAAGTTATTAATTATCACAAAAATATTTAATACTATTATATAAATGATTAATAGAGACTTAAATGTATTTCAGAAAAGGGAAAGATGTTGTAAAAGATGTTGATAATGTTTTCAAATATCTATGCTCAAAAGAAAATGATATTGTAAGACCACGCACAATTTCTATAAAAGGTCGTAATGTAAATTTTCAAAAAACTTGTGGTAGAGTTCTGGATTCAACATTTGATGAATTATGCGATAGGGTAAACATACTGTTCATCCTTTTTAATATAACACAACACGTATCATATAATAAATATTACTTTGTCTATATCTTTCTAGCCTCTTGGTGCTAGTGATTACTTGGAACTAAGTCAGATTTTTCATACAGTAATAATAAGAGATGTTCCACAATTAAATCTTCGATTAAAATCTCAAGCAAGAAGATTTATTACTTTGATCGATACATTATATGACAACAAGGTAATGCTAAATTATTTCACTGAAATATATTTCATTATAAATTAATATAAAACATATACTAATTAATCTCAGGTAAGAGTTGTGATATCTGCTGCAGTACCACATACACAATTATTTGTAGCAGAAGGTGAAAGCGAATATACGGATGATAAACGAATGTTAATGGATGATTTGAAGATTTCACATGATTCTGTAAGTATAAAACTTTTAAACTTTCAATAAGATAGAAAAAGTTATAAAATAATGTTAATAAATATTTTTAGGCTGATCATAAGTCTAACATTTTTACTGGCGAAGAAGAACTTTTTGCTTTTGATCGTACCATATCCCGATTATCAGAAATGCAAACATCTCAATACTGGGAGCGATGGGAACAACATAGATAATGATAGTCTCACTTTAGTACAAATTATTTTAGTAGTATTTTATAGTATTTTATTTTTGATTGACTAATTATGGTACAAATTGTTTTAATAATTCATATCCTTTATATCAAATGACTTAATGGTACCTGGTTTCTTAAATATTATTTTAACATTATTAACAAAGAGCTCAAATAGACTTGTTAATTTATGTATTATTTATTCTTAACTTATAATAATATATTTATAATATGTATATATGACTGAATGTTACCAAGGTTGTTAAAAAGAATATTAAAATGCGATTTTTTTTTTTTTTTATATTAAGAGTTGCCAATGTATGAACAAATTTGGAATAGAAATTGTTTTACGTTTTACGTCATTGCGTTTAATTATTTATTCCTAATGTTGATAATATAATGAATGATATGAATTTCTTATTCTATTTAATGAAGACACGAGAAATATTTGGTTACTCACCGATGATCGTAATGACCTTATTTTGACAAACCACCCGCCTTCTCTCATGACCTTGTCAGTGATTGTCGAAATGAAAGTAGTTCTTTTATTGGTAATGTATTACTACGCAAGACAGACAATGCTTATTGGTTCCTTGAAACGCGGTAATAAGTAAATCATAAATATAATAAAAATATATTTTATAAATTGTAAAACAAGATAAATAATTTGTACATATATACATATGTATATATATATATAACATTTTTAAATTACTAAGTTATATTGTATCTTGATTTGATGTGGATATTAAAGATAACGAACGAATTGGCGAGAAAAACTTATGCGAATAAAATTTTAATATATATCTTGTTATATTAATTTTTGAATGATCAGTTCTCTTTGTATCGTCCAATTACAAAATGTGTTATAAGTATGAATATTAAAGAAACTAAGGAATACCCATATAGTTATAATATGAATGAAAATGATCGTACGTTGTTGCCAATCGATATAGTTTATTTTACTTCGTTCATATGTACTATCCTAATCGAAAACATTCGATACATTCTATATTTTTAATGAATTATGAAATTAATTCATTGTTTACATTTATCGTTTTCTTTTTAAATACGTTTATATAAACATCAGTAACAGTAGATAATATATACATATATATATATATATATAATACTGATATGATCCAAAAATATTCCACGTGTTTATAAATGTATAAAATACCATCGAAACAGTATTTTATTTAGAATATATGATAATAAAAGTAGATAAAAGAGTATTTCAGAAATTACACAAACTTCTCAGTTTAAGTAACTATCAAAATGTCTGAAAATTCGGAGGAAATAGTAATGGATGCTGAAAATAAAATTAATAACGCATTTTCCACTGGTAAATAATTAAATACATTGAATATTTTGTTTATCATTAAAAATTACAATATTTCAGAATTGAAATATATTATTTAATATATTATTATCTTTCTTTGCTATGTAGATTTATTAGATGTTTTTATTGACGAGTTAGAAATAAATGAAAAAGTAAGACAAATAAAACATGAAGCAAATTGTATAAATGGAACTGATAAAATTGTTACATTACTTAGAGCAGTTACTTTTGTTGATTTAACTTCCTTGGGAGGTAATGATACAGCTGTTACAATTGAAAAATTATGCAAAAAAGTAAGTTGTAATATATGATGTTATGAAAATATAACAATGATAGTTTTTTATTTATTTTTGATCTTTTCACAGGCTTTAAATCCTATTGATGACTTAAAGTTTAATTGGGATGAACCATTGCATACAGCAGCTGTATGTGTTTATCCATTAAGAATACAAGATGCTATAAAAGTGTTACAGAATAGCGACGTAAAGCATAACATTTCTGTAGCTTCTGGTAAATTTGTTCTATTATATTTTTGTATTTAGAGAATTATTAACTTAATAATTCAATTTTTGAGTAGTAGCTGCAGGGTTTCCCTCTGGTCAATATCCTTTGCAAACACGTCTTGGGGAAATATATTATGCAGCAAAAATTGGAGCTAAAGAAATTGATATTGTAATTAATCGGCCATTGGCATTAGAACATAAATGGAAAGATCTATATAACGAATTAAGAACAATGCGCAAAGCATGTAATACCACATGTATGAAAACGATACTTGCTACAGGAGAACTATTTAATTATTATAATATATATAAAGCTTCAATGGTAGCTATGATGGCTGGTAGTGATTTTATTAAAACATCCACTGGAAAAGAAACTGTAAATGCCACTTTATCTGCCGGAATAGTTATGTGTAAAGCTATAAAAGATTACTATGCACAGACAGGGAAAAAAGTAAGCAGATTAATTATGTAATATAATAATTATATTCTCCAATAATATGATCATATTAATTTTATAATTTATTCGTATAAAAATCCTTAGGTCGGGTTTAAGCCAGCTGGAGGTATTAAGACTGCGTCGGATATCTTAGAATGGATGACATTAATTAATAAAGAATTGGATGATTCATGGTTAAATAAAAAATTATTTAGAATTGGTGCATCCAGTGTACTGGATAGTATTGCTAATGAAATTAATTGTACAATTAGCTGTGATGGCAAATAATGTATGATTTTATATATGATTTTATATATTTTAGAAAGTGTTACTTTACATAAATGTATTATAATAAATTCAATTTAGATCATTGTTATAAATTATTTCTACCAGAATAATTATTGTTAAAATAATTCCATGATTTCAGAATAATAGAAGTAGATATCGATGAAAAAAATCGATAGATGAAAATCGAATACCGCTTACCGCCATTTTAACTGCAGTAGCGTCGCCTGCAATTTCTTTATACAATCAGAGACAGTACATGCTTCTGCCTTTATCGTCTAGAAAACCAAGATGGTAAGTTTGCCTTACGTTGTCAATTCAAAATCCGTTCACATCGGATGTATGCTGTGAAATATCTACAGATTTTCACGTGGAAAATATCGTGTATTAATTAAAGTTTTCAATGGCATATATATGTAATATTAAATTGTGTTGAAAGAATTTGAAAAATAAGTGACTTTAAGACGTGCTACTTATTGAAAATTTTATTTTTCAATTATGTTGAGTTTTATATTTGATTTATCTTCGATTACAGATATATACGATGGGTATTATACATTTAAAAATAATGTTTATAAACAGTGTTAATTTATTATTATATAAAGTACATGCTTAGATCGGGACATAACCTAACAATTTCGTTTATCATTACAATCTGCTTTTTATTTATAGTTTACATTTATTTTTTATGTATACCTCTAACGTTTACACGTTTATTTTTATTTGTTATTAAATAATAACCGAGTGTTTTTTCTTAGGCTCGCGGTCCTAAGAAACATTTGAAGCGTCTCAATGCTCCCAAAGCATGGATGTTGGACAAATTGGGAGGTGTCTATGCACCTCGTCCGTCTACTGGACCACATAAGCTCAGGGAATCGCTTCCCTTGGTCATATTTTTACGTAACAGATTGAAATATGCTCTAACTAATTGCGAAGTTACAAAGATTGTAATGCAACGACTTATCAAAGTTGACGGCAAAGTACGCACTGATCCCAATTATCCTGCTGGTTTTATGGGTAAGCAAAAAACACCATATACTAATTTTTATGGCCTTATCGAAGCTGCAATACTTTTTATAAAGAAGTGCTGCAGTCAAAATTGGCCAAAAATAATCTATGAGCTCCTTACTTATGGTCACAGGTTGAATTAGATTAAATATTCTTGCTGTATTACCCAGAAGGAGTACAAATTTTATATTTATAATTAAATGCAGAAGTTGTAACAGAAACATATCAATTAATTTTCATGTAATAAACCAATAATATTAATTAATTAATGACTAATCGTGTTATTTATTATAGATGTTATCACCATTGAAAAGACCGGTGAATTTTTCCGTTTAATTTATGATGTGAAAGGACGTTTCACTATTCACCGTATTACAGCAGAAGAAGCTAAGGTATTTTAAAATTTCTTTTTTATCAATTAAAATGATTCTCATGTTATACGTTGTTTTTCTTTATAGTACAAGTTGTGTAAAGTCAAGAGAGTTCAAACTGGTCCAAAAGGAATACCATTCCTAGTTACACACGATGGAAGGACAATGCGCTATCCGGATCCTTTAATAAAAGTTAATGATACTATTCAATTGGATATTGCCAGTGGAAAAATATTAGACTCCATTCGTTTCGATTCAGGTAAATATTTATCATTAGTATATTAATATGAGATTAATGTAAAACAAGAAGAATTTTTGTTGAATATTGAAAATTATATTTTTGAAAAAATATTTTTTTATTTGTAGGAAATTTGTGTATGATCACCGGCGGAAGGAATTTAGGTCGTGTCGGAACAGTCGTTAGTCGTGAACGTCATCCTGGTTCGTTTGATATTTGTCATATTAAGGACTCTCAAGGACATACTTTTGCCACTAGGTATGTCAATGTAAATTAATGTTTTATGAAATTAATTTCTTTTATATTACCAACAATGGGTATAAATTTATCACCATTTACTTATTTCATACGAACAATTTCTAAGTACGAATGATTTACATAGGTTGAATAACGTATTCATTATTGGAAAAGGTCTAAAGGCATATATAAGTTTACCAAGAGACAAGGGTGTCAAGCTTTCCATCGCGGAAGAACGTGACAAGAGGTTAGCAGCAAAGGGAGTGAATTAATGTACATTTTTAAAAAATATCCAAATAAACTAAAAGTTTTTTGGTGAAACGTAGAACATTTATTTAATGTTCCACCATTGCGCAATACGACTGCATACATATATCTATGTAAAAATAGTTAAGATATAATTGACAGGATTATAAGATCGATCAAGATTTTAATTTAAAAGACACATTAGAAGTTTCAAGATTGAAGTATACTTAATATTTTGTAAGTTTAATGAACACATATGCAAGAGAAGATTTCGATCGGCAAAAGCAGTTAACTGCATTTAACTTTGAACGAATGTGTTGTACATTTGCAACATAAAATATATATTTCTTACCAAGTATAAAGACAAATATCTATGTTCTACTTTTCTGGCAGCCAGACTTCTGCATTTAAATTAAGCGAAGCTTGCAGAAGAGCATTATATTGGTCGTCTCTTTGTTTTTCGTTTCCTCGATGGATATCTTTGGCAGCTTTTAAGTACCTACAAGGAAAACGTGCTTGAATCGATTAATATCATTTCAAATATATATTCTGAGAAAGGTCAAGTGGACGAGATAAATTTAGAATACTTGTTTATACAAAGAATCGTGTCTTTGATTTCTCTTTCAATGGAACGCGGTGCATCTGTTTGTGAAAATTCAGCATTTTTGGAATGTTTCAATCTTGTTAATGGACAAATGCGAACCCATCCGCCTTCTCGAACGCAAGGAACATTCCAATCTCTACCGTTATCCCATACTGAAGCTGATGAATGATTGTTGATGTTATTGCCTTTGAAGTCATGTCGAATGCATTTGTCCATCAATAAAGGATTATAACGAGACCAGGAAGTCGGACACATTTCTGAGGACGATTTCCTATACTATGAAAGGATCAATTTATTAACCGTATTAGTCACATTTACACGTTGATACTTGAAAAAAATTATAAATCGTACGGCAGAACGTGTTTCAGAATATAGATTCATGATGGTGCCATCGTTTCTATTAAATTTGGATTTTTTCTTCGTAGAACGATTTGCACAAAGTTTGGAAGACGAGTTCTCTTCGTTTACTACACGATCGTAAGACCAGATTTTAAACAACGATAGTCCAGTATTACAGACTGGAAGGCCCAACAAATCGAACAAATCATGTAATAATGGTTTTTTCACTTCCGAATCGATCTCACATTCATTGCTTAAAGCTGGACTAAGATTTACCTTAAAAAGTAATACAGTTTATATAAATATATAACAATTTATTATTAACAATCTATTATTGTACCTCCAATAACCATGGTTTTAAATTTTCATCGATTAACACGTCAAAGCCAAAGAATTCGAAACAATTAGAAGAGCTTGGTATACCAGCTGCTTGGCTTATAATCGTTAAACTCACGAGACAGGCTATTCTTTGCCAAAGAAACCAATCGAAGTATCCAGCCTGCTCGAAGTATCGTCTGAGTTGTCTCAAAGTCCATTTGCAACCTTGGAAAGAAAAATGAAAGGAAGGGTTGCGTAGTAGTCGTTTAAAGAGAAAGGAAGATGTATGTATGCGTCTTTAACATGGGTTTACCAGCACCAATGCGTTCTTTTTTCTCCGAATATCCTGGGCCTAGTTTGTTCAAGGAGAAGTTCGTTAAATGACGAAAGGGATCGTCTAAACGTTCCAAGGAAAATTTCTCGGTGGCAAATCGAGCTATACCTTCCTTGTAAAGATATATCGTCAAGGGACGATAAGAAGGTACGCAAACGTAAAGACGTAAGTCAAACTTGTAGCCACCGATGAGAAGAGGATTTTCTATGTATCTTTGTACAACGGCCGAATTGTTGTACGAGAGATCGCTTAATTTCTGCGAGCAATGAAATAGAAATATATCAAACGGATTAAAAAGAAATTAATAAAAAGAGTTGGAGAATTTCAACTTACACGGAAAAGAAATATTCCTCTTCCTTGGCTTTGGCTGACCGGTTTGCAAATCCAAACTCTATCGTCCTTCTCGTAACGACTACAATCTTCCGCGAGTTTCGTATATTCCGAGGGCAAATTATATCCTACAGGACTGACGGGAGATGCATTATATTTTTTTTTGTGATAAATGTGTATAGAGAGATCGGAAAAAAAATGATCGTACGCGTGCCATACCTGAAATCGTAAATCGAGCCGTGGCCCTTTTTCATGCATTTTAAATGACGCACGAGATTGTCCTTTCTACAGATCGAATTTCCTTTTGGTATTCGATTAACGAACTGAAAAAAAAGAAACGATTGAATATCGAACGAAAATATTTCGAATATCAAGTGAACGTGTCAAATATAAAAGAAGAATAGGAGAAAAAGAGAGATACGACGTAATCTTTACCTGCCAAGGAAATAATGGTTTAAATTGGGTAAAAGGAAAACCACCGGATCGCCACCATAAATTCCATCGATCTTTGAATACATTATTTTCTCCCGCGTATTCCCTCCATCCTCGTTCCGTGCAAACCTACGAAAGACGTAGATCATTTTTCTTGAAGCATTTAAAATGGTCAATAAATCGTTTCTAATTCGTTCGAAATCGTTTCTAATTGACGTTTATTTTCAATTATCTCGTTGGAGACGTAATATATAAATAAGGTTTCATGAATCATCCATTTAAACCGTTCACAATCGTATAGAGAATTCTGGGTATCCCGAATACGCGAAAGTCTTCGCACGAAAGCATTCACATCGGAAGTTCGTTCATCGCGTTTCGCGCTCAACGATTTATTAATTCTCTCGAACACGAAAATAGGATTGCCCTTGATTTATTGTCGCATTTATTAAAGCCAAAGGAATGGCCTGCTGCTATATCGAAAGCCAATAAAGAACGACAATAATTGAAAATTACAAGAGCGCATTGCACTCTCTATCCGCTCGTTATTTCTTCGTAGCATAGCGAAAGCGATCTTAAATAAATAAGGGGTAAACAATCTCTCTTCGGTCAACCGCAAATTACGACCACGCAACGTCCGCCGACTCACTTTTCATTTAACCCATTTTTCTCTTTTCTACGTTCTGTGCCAGGTGCATTTAACGATCAAAGCCGCCCCAACCAATTTGTCTAATAAATGTACCTCGTCACGAGCTATCTCCGGTACGAGCTTTCAAGTTCGTCTCTTCTTCTTCCTATTCTTATTCTTCTTCTTTCTGTTTTTTTCTTTTTTCTTTTTTTCCTCCTTTTCCTTTCGACATTTAAATGCTTCGCGAAGCGGAGAAAAAGTATTCGCTTTGAACGTTTTACGCAGTCACGAACGAAAAATTGTCGTGACATTGAACGACATCGGAAGACAAATCGAAAGACTCGCGCGATGAGAGATACTCGTTTAATAATTGAGTTCGAACAGTGTCGTTTCAGGAACTATTATTAATTACTTCCTCTTCCTTTATCCTTGCATGTCGCATGTAATTAATCATAGACTTTAGAAGTATCGTACACGCAGCGGAAATTCGTTGCGTCTATTCGCCTATGCAGATATGGCATCTGTATCGTAGCTTCGAAAATATTTGGTTCAAGGTTAACAAGCAATGCTAACTTTGTAACCGGGCCAAATTAAAACCAAAGAAATTAAAAAGTTTGACGACAGATCGACTAGTCTATTTTTCGACTGTATTTTTTGACTTTGAATATATGACGATTTTTATTTATCCTATCCATGATAGAATCGTTTCAACGATTTCTCTACGATACCTGTACGAGTAGAAGAGGTCCTGCTCCGTTCTCGTTGAGTCTGAATACGAAAGGTCCTTCCAAGCATTTTACTGCCATGCCGGAGCATGATATATCTTATAGGATTGAAAAGAGGACGTTACGACGTGCAAGAAACTCTGAAATAATTGGCGTATTTAAGAGGGAATTAGAGTTCACACCTTGTAACATTTCGATGTGACGTATACGTAAGTTCTTATCGTGAAAAATCAATGAGAAAGTATGTGCCAAAAATAGATGGTCGTTAGCTTCACGCTATACGCAAAGAATAAAAATGATCTGAGATTTTTTTTTAAATTAATATCACGAACGATAAGCGACGATCGACGTTTTATTAAAAGCAATAATAATCACAGAAAGATATCCGTGTTACATATATTAAAAAGTCAAACGAAAGATACTTTGACCACTTCTACGCTGCGCCTGCGTCTGATTCAAAATGAAAAGCCCGCGAAGGTAAAGAGATTCGCTACTCACTTATTTATCTTGCGATCGATCACGCTGTAGCCGAAACGATCGTCCTTTTTATCATTAAAATGATCAATCTCTTCATTTTTTCTATTTTCTTTTTCCGTCCAAGATCACGAAGGATCGGTTACTTAAGTGTAAAATAGAAAAAGCTCGTCGAGATGTATTCTAGACGAAATCTAGATTCTAACTGGCGCGTTTACGAGCTTTCGCGATAGCTCTGAGTTTCTTCGCAGGTGCGCAGGTTAATCCGTCCTGTTACCGCGCGAGCTTGCGAAGGACACCGGAAGTAAGAGAGATCGCGTTTTACGTAAAAGAAAGGCGTAAGCTCGCGCAAACTCGCTCGCCTTTCTTAGTTAGGAATTTCGAAAAGTATTAATTTACGAGAAAGCTCATTAGGTACACGCAATCCGATCACAGCTTTTCGACTTTGAACTTTTCTACGTTTCTATACTTCGAAGGTTCCTCGAGTTATTGATGTTAATATTTTAGGTATGAGTTTGTCAAAGGTATGGAAATTATTTAAACGCAATTTTGACGTCATCGTTATTAAAGACGGTCAGTGGGACTTGCTTTAATATTACCTTTCCCTTTCGCTTTGAAGTTGCTTTCATGTCGAACGACGTTGAACGTTCGATCCTGTACAACGTCGAATCGATAAAAGTATGTAGTTAGTTTCTTTTTGGAGTTCGTTGAAAATTACTCTCTCGAGTTTAACGACCGAAGGAAGAAAGTTCAGTTTTATCGGCTCACGATCGTGAATGGTATTTCATGCGAAAGAGCTTAGGACGGATATGGATTAAAAATAGGTGTATAGAGGTGAATTCGACCAAAGTTTTTCTAAATGTTAATCGTCCTTTCTAAAATTTACCTTACGTGGATTAGAAGTATGGGAACCAAGCAAAAGTATACATTTCATTTTATTGTAAGCAACACGTAACACAGATACAGAGAGGTTCTATCCTGCCGATAATTAAGCCCCTTATCGATCCGATTATTAACTTTATTAATCACGATTATGTGAACCATCGTTCACGGACACGCTTGGATGAATCGCATAGTTTTCTCTCCTCGCATCTGTCGTAGGATGATTTTACGCTCGTGAATAACTTTCCTTCAAAGTCTTACGAACTAAAATTACACATTTATTATATTATTATTATTATTATCATTATCATCAACATCATCATCATTATCATTATCATCATCATTATCATCACCATCATCATCATCATCATCATCATCATTATCCTCCTCATAGTCATCATCATAATCATTATCATTGTTATCGTATTTTACTTTTTTCAAGTCTGACGAGTTCCTTCGCATTCGCATTTCTTTTTTTTCTATATATATTTTTTTTTTTTTTTTACTTTATACTTTTTAATATGAACTCGTGCAGATGGCACAGAAAAATCGGTAACCTCGTATTTAAGATTATCGTGATATATGTGTGCTGCTTTCGCCCTTGTCGAGTTGTCCCTCTCGATTTTTCTTTTATGTTTTCTCAATTCGAGGAGAAAATCGATCGATATTTCGATCGGTTTGCTCGACTCACAGGGAATTTCGTATGCACTATAGAGGTTTATATGATTACAACATTCGTTTTCATTCGATTTAATAAAGCTAAGAAATATTATTTCAGTGCGATATAATCGTTGATTCATGATCCACGTGCATAAGAATCATGATCGAATCGTAAGTGAGAAGGCACGCTCGTCGTCGATCGAAGAAATTTTTTTACCGTCTCTACATTTCTTTTACTTTCTCGATGTAAGCATTTTTGTCCCCTTCGATTCTTCAACGTTTGACTAGTACATTAACAAAAAAAAAGAAAAAAAAAAAACGAAAAACAAAAAACAAAATCATCTTTCTGCACATATTTCCGCATCTCAAATACTCTTTCCTCGAATCGTTAAATTCATATATATATATATGTAAACGAGAAAGCTTAGCGAGTGAAGCTACGAAACGTTTCGAATCGCTTATAGATTATTTTCAAGGATAATTGTACTACTAAACGGACGCTACGCACGTGATCGGATTAGAGCTTTTTTCGAAATCGTCTAGATTTCTATTTCTTTTGTTCTTTCATTCGTGCTCTCTTCCACTCATCCTTTCTCTCTCTCTCTCTCTCTCTCTCTCTCTCTTTCTCTATCTATCTCTTTTTCTCTCACATACACACTCTCTCTCTCTCGTTTTCACACATTCTCCCTTTTCCGTTTCTCTCTCGATCGAATCTCGCGATAGGTCCGACATTTTAACAGGGTATTTTCGTTCATCGTTCAAAGTGCATCCTCGAATACACCTTGAGCACCAACGAGAAATATGGCAATGATCCTTCTTCGTTAATCGCTAATTGCTCGCTTGACCTTTGCGTGATCCGACAAAGAGATTCGCGATCGTGTCCGTATCGCCGCAGAATTCTCTGCACTGAATTTTACGAGGTATTCGAGCACGGTCCGTCCCGAGTAAAAGTCCCCCATTAATTATTATTATCCTTGTCCTTGCCTTGTTAATATATAAAACGATGCTTTTATTCCGGCCACGTGCGGCAATGCGTCTCGAATGTCTCTATCCTTTTTTTTTCTTTTTTTTTTTGTTTTAACTTGACTCTTGTTAGCCAACTCTTTCACTATTTTTTTTTCTATTTTTTTTTGGTATATAATATGTAGGAATATGTATATATATGTATATATATATATATATATATATCTATTTTCTTTTGCGACACACGGAACGCTTGTAAGCGGTTACGCGATGGAGCCACGAACTCGTACGGATTAAACGAATCCTTTCCTTTCGATTTATCTCAAATAGTCAGTCCAGTAAAATTGTTAATTCGAAAGGCGAAACGTCGTTGTTAGAGAAAAAAGGATGAAAAATAGAATGTAATTCGTAAGAGTATCGTTAGTCCGACGTGTTCATAGCTCTGGCAACGATCGGTTAGTCGAATGATTTCAGCTCGATATGGAAAAGAGAAAGAAGGAAAGAAAGAAGAAGAAAAAGAAGATGGATGAACGGAATTCAATGACAAAGGGAGTTTCACGTTCAAAAAGAGTTTTTAACTCGCGAAGAAAGGACTTTTCATCGTTTTCAAAAATCTCTTTGCTTTTCGTCCCTCTCTTCTTTTCCTCTTCTTTCTTGTCGCACGTTTTATCATCGAATGCGGAATTCTAACGCGCGTGATTTTTGCAGAATGGACGGCCACCCTTCGCGTAGAAACTTTGACCCTCGAGATTCTTCTTGCACATCTGCAACATTTATAAATGATAATAAATTTTTCAAATAATTATGATCGATCGTTATTTTTCCTTTTTGTTTATATAATCTATTTTAGAAATGATCGAGACTTACCGTACAATTGAAGCACTGACTGTGATAATTATTATTGAGGGCCTCTACCCAACGGTCTCCAGCCTCCACTGGGAATCCACAGGCAAAGCATTTTGTCGTGAATAGTTCGTTCCAATCTGAAAAGAAAATAAATAAATTTTTGAATGACATGTTTGTATCGATGAAGAAAAAATAATGTAAATGATTATCAACTAACCAGCTTCGCAATAGGGTAGACCTTCTTCCAAGAAGAATGGACTATTACCGAAAAGTTTACCACAATACGAGCAGTTGAAGCATTCAGGATGGAAGTGCTTTCCAATTGCATTTAAACAGTCCTAAAAATTGATACCATCTGTACGTTTTGTCCATTGAAAAGTTTTCGATTAAACTTACGCCTTTGATTTTGTTGTTGCATTTGTTGCAAGAAGGTGCAATGAATTTTTCGAAACAATACTCGCAATAAAGTTGTCCTTTTTCCTCGACGAATCCAATGTCTTGTAATGGACGACGACATTGAGTGTTCACGCATACGAAGTGATCGGGACACCAAATCTGTCCCAATGCGGTAATAAATGGTCCTCTAAATGAAGAATGTATTATTTTTAATGACACAATAAATAATCAAGTGTATAAAAAGAACAAGAAAAACACACGTAGCTTGGCGCGAAGATAAGTTATATACATGCGCGCATATATATATATATATATATATACATACATACATACATACATACACACACACACACACACACACACGCACGTGTTAACTAATTGTTCAAATGTTTCTTTTGAAGCACAGATAAATATACGAACCTCGTGCAATGCTTGTTGTCTTGACAGCATATTGGCTTTACGACGAAACCGTTTGTCATGTGATTAGTATTTTCTCCGTTAGCTGTCAACAACGTGCAACGAAATAATGTTAGTTATTTAGACGGCACATGGTTAAGTAATGATGGTCCATTCAAAAGTAACACAAAACACAATGTATTCAATAAGCACTGAAAAATAAAAACGACAAACATATTTTATTTATTAGTAAAGAAAATGTATTCCTCTTATTTTGGATACTCTCGATAGCCAAATAAAAATGCGACGACACACTGCGATAAAAAAAGAAAAATGAAAGAGACAAGAGGAAAAATGCAGCAAAAACGAAAAATCAGGCACACGATCGACGAGCCAGGCATCGTCCTACCTGACGTAGGAGTTGCAATGAGCACAGAGTGGTACACGGGAACCTGGTCCACCAGCCTGAGTGAGAATACCCCTTCCACGTTTGGGTGCACTGCTACCAGCAAACGATCCGCTTTTCGAGCCGGAACCACCGAGGCCTCCGGTACCTAGATCCGGGTGGGATGACATTTTTGGTGGGTCTACTAAATTTTGGGTCTTACTAGAGGGGCAATGGAACTGGTCCTGGCAGCTAGTCTGAGACTGACAATGACTTCCGGTTTGACAATGGCTTTGGGACTGATAGAAGCTTTTGGTCTCGCAATGATAGCTTTTTTTGGTTTGACATTGGTTTTCACATTGGCTGCCAGATTGTTGGCATTGTTGTGGTTGTGGTTTGTAAAGCTGCACAGTGGGAATATCACGATTTTTAGCTGTTAGTCGCGCAAGCTGACCGCTGAGATTAGTTTTTGGCTTGTGGATTGGCTCGAAGGAACGTTGGGTGGTTTGTGAGCAAGACCTTTCCTCGTAGGGCAATGGGATTTGTGGATAGGGAAGATTTCCTCGGCTTTGGCTCTTGCGAAGACACTGTCCGTCAGATTTCTTGCAAGGTGCCACGCAGACGGACCCATCCGGACATGGTGCGACGCAGACGCCAGATTCTGGACAGTTGGGGATGTCAAAATCGCATCCTCCTGATTCTCCACCGCAGTAACCAGATGGTTGGCCACAGTAACCAGGTTTAAGACCGAAGCACGGCGATACGCAAACCCCGGATCGATCGGAAGTTGGCGTCACGCAAACGCCAGACTTCGGACAGGTTGGTTGTCCGTCGCAGGGCACGACCACCACGCCGGTTTTGGTACCACGATCGAAATGAGCTTTGCACGGTAAGACGGTAACTCCTGTTTCTGGACACTTTGTCGCAGGTGGAGTCGGTGTTTCATAACGAACGTGACGTACCTCGGTCGAGCTACTGTACGTCGGTTGAACCTTGGGTGCTTCGACAGGTTTACGCTTTAATGGGCAGGGTAAAGTTACGTCTGCATGAGTCGTTTGAATTATAGAACATTCTCCTTTATTTCCTGACGATGGCTGGGTAACCTCCATAGTCTTTTTTTCACATCTTTCGTAATCTTCGACAACTTGCAGTGCCTTTTTAATATGACAAACGGTATCTTTTTCCTCGCTAGTATCTTCGCTCGTCATGCATCGTCGTTCTTGGTATTGAGCGTGTACAGAATCGGATTCCTGTTGTTTTTCTTCCGCCTGTCGTTCGTCGTAATGTACCGTCTTTGAACCTACGTATTCTTGCTTCCTATGGCCAGTATCCGTGTCCTCTTCTACGGTATAATTAATGATCTTACGCGAGGGATAATGTATCGAGCTTTGTTTCGACGGTGGAGGATGCGATTCTTTAACAGCCCAGGGAGGATCGTCTCTGATTTTAGGTGCTTGCGCTTTTGTATAATAATACGGAGGTTCCGGTGGACCATGAGCCGGAGATTTGCTTCTTTTTGGAGTTGGCGTTGGCGATCGACTAGGTATATAGGACTGTCCCTCAACAGGGCTCTTCTTCATGGCTACGAGATTCCTTTGATAAGCTGGAATAGTATCTGGTTTTCTTAATCCAACGGTCGAGGGTTTACTGCTAGGTGTGTCCGCTCTACTGCAAGGTCGAGATCTTGAAGGTGAGGTCGAGGAATCTCTCAGACGATAATCAGGAGGTGGTGTAGGTAATGGCTGCGGTACTATCTTCTTCGTACAGATTTGTTCCCGACGATAAGACGTTTCGCCGTAAAGAATATCGGCCGGTGGACAAATGCCATTCGGTGTAGGTTGAACAGCTGGTGTCTGAGCTCTACCGATTTCTTGATCTTCCGGTCCTATAACTCGGCTGAGAGGAGTATAAGGACGATCTGGAGCTATCGTTAGAGCACGTTGGAATGGCGATATCGGACGTTCCTTCGGTTTTGGAACTGGTCTCATCTTGTGATCCAAATAAATCGTTTCTTCGGTATAAAGTTCTTTCACGCTGGAAGACGTGCTCAAAGGTGTATAGGGACGATCCGATGCAGTGGTCAAAGCATTTACCATTTCGGATTTCCATTCCTTAGGTGTGGCATTTTGTACAGGACCTTCGGATATCGGTTTAGGGCCTGTCTCAGTTTGTTTCATGAATTGTACGTGTTTTTTGCAAGTTTCCATGTTATCGTGCGGTTGATACTTCGATGCTACTCTTCGTTCTTGAGCAGTCGGATGTCTTCCTTGATCTCTGAGACTCTGGTGAACTTCAACCTGTTCTCGCAAACTTTTTCTACGTTCTTCCTCCACGTCCCTTCTTTTAATACGCTCTTGAACGAGTACTTCCTCCACAATCTCCTCGTAAGTTTCTTTCGTGATCTTTTTGCGACCTGGAGTAGAGCCATCAGATTCAGTGACCTTCTCCTCGTGTATGACCGTTCTACCAAGAGGTTTTTCTCGTATTACTTCGACGACTTCCTCGTCGTCCTCCTCATGCTCCTCTCTGAAACTAACGCGTTTCTTATTTCTTTCTTCCTCTTCTCGTTTTCTCTTTTCTTCTTCCATCCTTCTCTTTCTCTCTTGTTCTTCTTGCTTCCTTCTTTCTTCCGCCTCTTCTTCTCTCTTTCTTTCTTCTTCATCTCTCTTAGCCTGTTCGATCAATTGCGTGGCATCGACAGCCGAGGAAACAACTTCGGCAGACTCCTCCACTGTTTTTGTCTCTCTCGTACCTTCGACCTGTCTCTCGACCTTCGTTGTACTTTTACGCGTGCAAGATTCTATTTCCTCGATTTGTTCCATCTCCGGAGAACCTTCTCTAGGTGATAAAACTTCGACAGTTTTCTCGTACGTCGTAGTTTTCTTTACGTGCATGTCGCCGATATCCTCCTCGGCCGTTTCGGTGATAAGATCGTGTTCACCTTCGATACCCTTCTGAATGGCTGCTATATCAGAGGGTACGACTTTGCATGTCTCGGCCGTATCTATGGTCGTGTCCTCTTTTACTTTTCTCAAATCCATGACTTCCTTATCAAATTCTCTGACGATTTCTCGCGGTGTTTCAGGACGTATAGCGATCGGTTGACTCGGCAACGGTGGTTTCGGACATACTGTTTCTTCCGTTTGACATATCTCAGCTCGATAAGCTCGATGTTCTTCGCGATAAGGTTGCTCTTGCATACCACGCTGACAAACTTTCTCGCTCTGACAGATCTCGCTCTGCATGTACTTTTTGCAGACCTTTGGTTGCTCCTCAGAGGCATAATTCTGTTCGTAAAGATTCCCACCGGAAGAGACGGTTGCTGTCCAAGGTCTAGGTATAGGCTGATAAATTCTCGTTGGTGTCAACGATCTTCTGACACCGCTTTCGGACGAGCTAGCTCGCGAAGTTTCACGTCTTGATTCTCGTCTGGTACCACTGCTATCTACCAATTCGACTCGCTTATAAACCGGACCTGGACAGCTTACACGGTCCATCACGTCTTGATCGAAATAATAACCCTCTCGTGAAGTTCGTTCGTATTCGCGATCGGTACTCTCGCTTCTTCTACTCAATGCTCTCTCGCAAGCCTCGATACTCGCACGTTTATCCTTCACCGCGTGCCGATCTCTACGATCAAGCGCCGGGTTTGGATCGATGTACAAAGGACTGGCGGTTGGATATGTGATGTCCTCGATCGGTTTTGGCGGTGGCCAAGCGAGACTTCTAGATTTAACGGAATTGGGATTCGTCGATGGATTGGTGGACGGTGGACGATTATTAGCTGTTTCGATCGATGGATTCGAAGGTGATGTTGTGGTTTCTTTGGTCTCGTAATAATAGAACTTTTCGTGGACCTCTGATAAGGTTTTTTCGGGATGGGGAATTTGTTTGGGAGTATTGTAGCCATTGTTTGTTTATTTGTTAATACAAATAGGCGAGGATAGAAGAAGCAAGAAGAATAATGAAAACGGGTAATATAAGATACTCAAGACGTGCGGTAAATGATGTTGGAAGACAGAGGGCGTGTTAGAAAGAAACAAGAAAAAAAAACAGAGAAATTTGCGGTGAGTAAAAAGCACGTTAAACGGCTCGTACCCGTTTTCTTCAATTTCTTATCTGCGTGTTTCCTGTTTATTCGTTATAATGAATCGCAAACAGACAGATAAAACTGACGTAAGAAAACGGGCACATGCCGGATTGCGCTAAATAAAAAAGAAAATAGCAAAATGAAAAAAAAGAGAGAGAGAGAGAGAGAGAGAAAAAGAGAGAAAAATCAGTGCGTTCGAGAAAATGTCGAAGCCAAATTTTCTTTCTATTAATAATTATTGCTTATTAGCTAAAATAGCGGCTATATTTCTCGTGGGCTCATCAAAGTCACTCTGCACTCGTATATTCAATCGCGCGATCAAAACTATAAGGAAATTCGTTAGTTAAACCGCATAATTAGCCGCATATTAACGTCCACCCTCGAGCTCTTCTCTCGAGAATTTCGATGTGCAAAGCTGAGAAAAAACGCAGTTAAAAGGGAAACGTGTTCGAAGATGACACGTAGATGATATGATATCGACTTTATCAAAATGAATTGATCACGTTTATCGAGCGAATAACTATATACTCTTCCTATGTTGATTCTTTGTTTACAATAGAATTTTTATTTACTTATCATTTATTAATTGGCACATCGCTTGGTCAACAGACAAACATTTAAGCTATTCCGCCGTGGAATTTTATTTGTTTAAAGTGAGTCGCTACTCAACGCACACTCCTTTTCTATTTTTAAATTTTTTTTTCTTTTTTTTGTTTTCTTTTTTTTTGTTCATTAGAATCAATCACGTGTATATATATATATATATATATATATATATATATATATATAAATATATATATATACGTATGTATGTATGTATATTATCGAAATATTAACATTCCTTGTGTAAACGACGCATTGCATGTGTAATTTTTTAAATGTATTTTAAAGAGAGATATAAATAATTATTCGTGAACAATTTGAATTGTATTTAATTTGAATATAACTTTGATGGTTCACGCGTTGTAAATTAGATTGCGAATATGAATTTTATTATTATTATTATTTTTATATTTTTTTTAATCGGCGTTTCAATTCGTTCATCGGCACGATGACGACGACGACGTTTCTTGAGAGCTACCGACTCATGCGAATGTGAGGGAGAAGGGTCTGGGTTTTGGGTTGAAAGATGGACCGGCTGAAAAAAGATAAGAAAAGCAGTATTACGTTTAAGGAAAGAGGAACGTGTCTTGTAAAGTGAAAGGAAGGTTTATGTTCGACAATCGTTAATAAAAAATTACCTATTTAAAAATTAGATTAGATAATAGAAAAGGTGTCGCATATTTCGCAATTTCAACGAGCAAGGAAAATACTAAGTATAATATTTGTGTGACCTAATGAAATTAATAAATACTGTTTTTTTTTCGAGCACGTATGTACGAATATTGCCTACTGTCGGGGATGCACTACCAAAGTTAGTTCGGATAATCCAGTGTTAGATGGCACTGGGAAACGATGATGAGCGCGCCTGAATATATGCAACGCCTTGTACGATTGTTTGTGTAAGAAAACATTACTTTTTTTATATATAAAGTATATTACAAGCGAAAGCTATACGAATTATAAGAATAAATTTTTATGTTCCATTTAATATTATTACGATATTATCGACAATTTTCTAATGACTAATATGTCATTAATTATTAATTAATTCGATTCGTTGTCAAATCGTTGTCGTCCTCGCAAATAATAATGAACGAACTAAATGCGAAAAACACAAGCGAGAGCAGAGGATGCTTATATGTCATCTTTTCGAAGCACAAAATTGATACGATTCGATCTTGTTCGATCGGGAAATGAAACGAGCGTGAAAGATAGAAAAATTTTAAAGATAAAGATAGATAGAAAGAACAGATACAAATAGATAAAGAGAAGAAAAGAAAGAGAGAGAGAAAAAGAGAGAGAGAGAGAGAGTGGAAAAATGTGAGGAGGTAAGCCAAAGGGGACGCATTAGCCAAAGCTCGAAACTCGGTCAGCCGAATCTAATCTATCGTCGTACCTCTGAAGGGCGAACTTTTTGGCTTTGGCAGTGCAGAGAAGAGACCTATTTGCAACAATCGAAGATAAAGTTAGGCCAAGGACAAAAGCGAGCTCGTCGCTAGGAGAACGTGCTTGTGAGATCGTTCTTTCGACGATTGGGTCAATCAATTATTTCTTTTATCCTATGTATTTGTTAAAAGGACTTGTCTTGAGACATCAGCGCGATCATTGTCGCAAATTAAACGAGTTTCGTCATTCTTACGTTTATCGCGTTATCATTTGCAAATTTTCTTATTATCCAATTTCATTATCGAGAAGGATCATCAAAAGAATACGAATTATAACGTACGATTTTAATACAATAGAGATTAGATTTTATTTCAAGATAGATTAGAAATAACTTATTGATTAATTATCATATTCTTTTGTTTCCTTATTAAAATCATCGTTAGATATCATCAAAATGAAAGCTTACCGGTTGCGGTCTGATTCTGCGCGCGTGGAAGAATACTGTTTCCTGAATTTACTATAGGAGATGACGAGAGATTCGACAGAGTACTCGATCCACCGAAAGGCTTAGGCCCGATTAGACTATTCGACGTTGGTGCCTGAAAATAAAGATATTCATTGATATTAATTTACACATCCCATTGTACTTTTCGATTGCCTTACAAATTCTTGTCAACAATGATATTATTTACCATATGGAAATGGACTTACGTTGGAGTGAAAATTATTTTTAACAAGATTATATTGGAGTTTGGAAAAAAAAAACAAAATCAAGGGATTTGTCTTCTTCTTTCTTTTTTTCTCTTCTTTTTTATTTTTCTACTCTTTTCTTTCTTTTTTTTTTTTGTTCTTTTTTTTCTTTGTTCGTCATATAAAACGTGAAAACCCTAATCACATCTTGAAGAAATTAATAATCGTGATAGATTGTATTTGTTCACAACGTTGTTAATAAGTGTACGTACACTGACACACAAAATGTTAATTGGCGTTACTACGGCTCGTGCAAACGATTATTATTAAATCGATAATAATTCTTCGCTTTCTAATTACAGCCATTCATAGACGCCCTTAGATAAGAAACCGTCTAATTATCCTCTTCTTCAAGTTCGGAGAATCTGATTTATCGAATTTATTCAGATACGAGAGTACGACATTCCTATAAATCGCTTTAAAATGATATTAAACGAACGATTATGTTATTCTCTAATGAATCTTTCTAGGTGACTTCTCGCTTCGATAGACGATCACGAACGTACCGAAGAAAAATTAGAGGCGCGTTTAGGGGCTGAGAGAAGTCGTTGAGTCGAGTTACTTGATCGTTCGAAGATATTACCTGGACTGATCGTAAACCGGGTGGATCGACGGGCGAACTGCCAAGGTGATTGGTGGTAGTGGTGTTGTTGTTGGTTGTGGTAGAGGACTGTAAATACATAAAACGACACAAATCCGTCACGTGGTTTATGAGAACGGCGATTAGATAAACAGAAGGAACGAAGAAGAAGAAGAAGAAGAAGAAGAAGATATGTAGAAGTAGAAGAAGATGTAGCAAAAGAAACGAAGGTGGCGAAGAGGCCAGATGATGACTAATTAGTCACGATGGGCATAACAAATTTTAAGAATGATTGGCCTTTGATTCATCCTCGATAAATCGATCTTTCGTTATATCACAACCGAATCTAATTCTATTCCATCCTATTCTTATATAATGAAAGAAATCATCGGAAACACGAATAATACACGTAAAATCGTTTTCAACTGTTACATTTGAAATACGAAGGAATCTTATCCCTTCGTATCGTAACTCTAAGCAATTGCAATTGAGATCGTTTTTTAGAGCAGCGTGAAATATAAATAAGACCTGACCGCATTCGCGATGCATGCTGTCATACACGAGTAAAGGCTTCGTAAATTAGATTAAACTACGTTTAACGATTTGATAATGGATGCTGATGTTCTAATTGAAAATCTTGATTTTAATTTGGAGTCTAATAATGATTGATTGAACAATTCGGTAAAATGAAATAAATGAAAAATAACAGTTCGTTGTTAATCGTAGAGATCGTAGAGAACATAAAGAAAGAATGATCTTCAAATGATATAAAAGTTTATGCATATTAAAGTATGAACCAAATGATTTCTAATCTCAATCGTGAGAGCTCGTAACTTTTACTCGTTGCGTAATGCTGCGTTTTGCTTACATAAGAGACACGCAACGATTGGCCGATTTTGATTTTATTACCATACAGTTACGGTCTCGAACTTCTTTTTTTTTTTTCTTTTTATTGAATTCACCTTTAAATTCGATTCATATCGAGTCGATTATCATTGAATCGACGCGTCACTTCCGCCTAACTCGTAACGATTGATCTTTCGTTGCAGCTTACTTTCACTTTTACGAAGGATAACTTTTGTTTCGAACGAAACGTTGGACCATTTTAAAGCTAGAAGACGAATCGTTCGTTAAATATTATCATTAAAGAGAAGAAAGATTCACGATCAAAGTCGAGACCATTCCTTGGACAAGTCATATACGGAAGTACAATTAAATAGACGTGCAGAGAATAACGGAAGTATAAAAGAGTAAGTATCGAGATTCAAAAGTTGGTCGAATCCAAATAATAAAATCAGAGCACACTGCCAACCTCGGTGCCACCACCTGTCTGGATGGTGATAGTACTCGTAAACGTTTTCGATTCCCCGTTGCACTCTCCGTTCCTGATGCAGCCATTCCTGTTCGGGACCGGGGTCCGTCTTGATTGACGATCGAAGCCATAATCTGGACTAGTACGGCCGCAATTCTGGAAAAGCGTTTAGTGCCAAGCAAAAAAAAAAACAGTACACACGATTTGTTAGGCTATCCTCAAGATGTTCTTTTTTATATCTCTCTTTTTTTCTTTTTTTTTTTTCCTTTTTTTGGAAATAATCTCGCGCGATCATTCGCGTGCGCAGAAGCGACTTTCGATGCGAAGTAGTTGCGTTATAAGCGATAAACGAAAGAAGAAAGAGAAGAAAAAAGAGAAAGAAAAATAAAGAATAAAAAATAAAAGCATACGAATCTCTCTTTTCATGCTACCTTTTTATAATTCGAGTTTAAAGACTTACGGTGAACGGTAAAGGCGAGGATCCGTGATTGCTTAGCGGCGGCGATAAAGGTGCGCCAACGCTCGAAAGCGCAGCCGAGATCGTGCTGGCTGGTGCTTTGCCGCCTCTGAAATCAATGCCGATGATTTATTAGCTTCTTGATTATGCTTTATCCCACACATTCTCTAAAATAGATTTTACTTGTCTCGTCAAGTCCTTACAGTCCCCCTCTACTCTCTTATAAATTTTTTTCTTTTTTTCATATGTACCAAGAAAAATTTCCTTTCGATCTATCAACTTAATCGATCATGAATTTTTAATCTACCTACGTAAATGATAGCAATTAGAGTTCACTTACGGTGGCATAGTAACCGGTATCACACCAGGAGGTGCATTTTGTCTGGCTACCAATTTTGCGTGAATATCGCAATACAATTTGTTATTAATGTTATAATAACCAACGTTCTTCAGAGAAGTGCCACAGGTAGAACATTTGAAGCACTCCACGTGAAGATTTTTTTCCTTGATTCTAACGAAGACACCTCTGAAAAGAAAATAATATACTTTAGTCCTGTGTACACGACTCGGCTACATTATTCTAAGTTGATTTTATCAATAGAAAGCTCATCTTCGCGTTAAGAAGATCAACTTAAAACAATGTAGAGAATATATATATATATATATACATTATTCATCGGACGGACGCTAAAAAGCAACTTTTTAATCGGACATGCCACGATTTTTGTTTGTTTTGTTTTCTTTTATTTTTTTTTGTAATTCTTCTTTTATTATTTCATTTTTATTCCTATTCTTTTGTCTTCTTCTCTTTTTTCTTTATTTTTTTTTCTTTTTTTTTTTTTTATTTTATCTCTTAAAATATTTAAGAAAGCACGGAGAGAGGAGCTCGACACCTCGACGAAGGAGGCCGGATATTCGAAACGAATTTATTCAAACGTATGAGAATAAATGAATTTATGATTTATGTTAACAACTGTCGCAGGCATCATTACGGCTTTAAATGCTTTCCATAATTCTTTCTATCAAAAAAATCATGTTTGTTCGTTTAACGCCATTTGTACTGTGTAATAATCGTAACAATTCAAAAGAAATTCGAACGGTAAATTATCTTTAACACCAAATTACTTTCGTTATAGATAACGAAAAAATAATCGAAGAGGAAGAGAGAAAGAAATGGTTATTCGCGATTTCAAAGAATTCCTTAAAAAAAAAAAAAAAAAAAAAAGAAAATGATAAAAATACGAGTGGCAACGCCTTGCTTCACAAAAAGCGCAAAAAACAAAGAAAAAAAGGGGAAAAAAAAGGAGAAAAAAAGACGTTCGACGCGTGCACAAAAAATATTTATACAGTCACAAAAAAATATTCACAACATCAAAAGCGGGTTCTAGATCGTACGATTTGTCTCTTGACAAGAGAATAAATGATGAAGAAAAAAAGACGGAGAGTGAGAGAGGGAAAGAGAGAGAGAGAGAGAGACAGACAGACAGACAGACAGATAGAAAGAGAGAGAGAGAGAGAGAGAGAGAGAGAGAGAGATAATAAGTAAATGATTTGGCATATAAGAAAAGCTTGAATAAAGTATGTCTTCGCTCTGAAAAAAAGTCCTAGCAGGTATCAAGCTTCAAGCTCGGATGATGACGAAATGTTCGAGATGCTAGAAATTAATAGACGTTTGGCACATTGACCGAAGGAATTCTTCGTTCTTCTTGAAGAAGCGATTTTGACGAAGAGGCGATAAGAAAAGTATTGTTGTGCTTCGATTCATCAAGGAAATTCGTCTTGATTTCTAACCTGATCCGATAACTAGCGCAGAAGAGTTGACAATAGGTATTGGTTTAAAAAAGTGACGAACACTTTTATTTTCTACGAATCGAAGCACGAGATAGAAGGATATACCAGCGTACGTACGACAATCGAGCAATTCAAATGGACAACATTGTCGATGTCTTTGAGGTGCAAGAAAAACGAGTTTTCTTATATAGGACATTTAAAAAAAAAAAAAAAAAGAAAAAAGCTCGTTTCTCTTTTCTGCCCATTCAAAGAGACACCCTCGGTCCGTCGTCGATCGTGCAAGAAGGCCTACAGATACTTCATTTTCTTTCTGATCGTAAATAGTTACACGATCACTCGGTCGCAGTTGTTGCAACGGACGAGCGACGGGTCCCGACGTTGATCCTCGTTGTTTGATATTCGTGGATATTCGTAGTTATTCGGGGTAATGGCTCCGCCACCGCCACCGCCACCAAGGGCGTGAAATAGAGGCGTGGGTGATCTAGGCGAGGTGGCCCTTCCGCCGATCGCGTGGCTCACCGACGAGTAAAACTCTGTCCTTGAAGAAACTACGACATGGAATTAGAGAAAAAGACCGTCACTAAAACGAGGAAAATGATACTGGATCTATCTCTTCGCCTTTCGACAACGACGTTCTCTTGTGCGTTTTCTTTTTTTTTTTTTTTTTTTTTCTTTTTCCTTCTCCTTCATGTATACGTGTAAGTGTATATATGTGTACGTGTATCATGTGTAAACGCCCTTTGTGGAGTTCAACGACCAGAACTCGAGTTTCTCATTTTTTTTTTATTTTCTTTTTTTATTTTTCCCTATTAAAAGAGAAGAGAAAAACGGCCTCCTCCTAATCTGACATTGCGTTCGTCATCGCTCCTTTCTCGTCCATAAAGATGATCATTGTCTTCTGTAAAGAGAGAAGAGCAAAGGCCGAGAAAGAGAGGATATCTCTCGGCTTGCTGTTCTGAACTTACACGATGAGCCTCTCGCACTCGGCACAGATGTTCTGTCCTGGTGGAAGGCTCGATTGCGGCGTCGACGGAGGTTGCGTTTTCGTTTCCGGCGCCGATACTGGCCTCAGTCCCGCCAAGGCAGGCGACGATGGCGTTATCACGCCGCTCGTAGCAGTTGGCTCCGCTATTTCGTAAACAAGTTATCGTTTCCGCATGCAGAAACTCTCGAGCGAAATTTTTCCCATTTGCTACGCTCGAAGAAAAATCTCTGGAGATCGATCGTTCTTTCTACTCCTTCTTTTTCTTTTCTTTTCTTTTTTCTTTATTTCTTATCTTTTTTCTTTTTTTCGAAAGTAGATATTTACACCTTCGTTCTCCAGTGATCTTTTCAGTTTAGATATATACACATATAATAAGTACATTGATACGTCTTCGATTAATGCGAAGAGAAAAGTAATGAAATTTTTATAGATCGTTAATCCTAATATATTAGCTAACCTGGCTCGGGTGTTTTCGGCTCTTTATCAGCTTCTTGAACCATCTTAAATACCTCGCTGTTTTCCGCATTATAGTTTTTCTCGTTCTTTTTGAAATTAACCCTGCAATATCGACGATTACAGTAAACGAGAAACGTGTACGTAAGACGAAGTCTTTCGTAATGAGAGAACTTTTCTATTTTACCCAAGGACACCACCGGCAAGAACCTCGGCCTGCGCGGAGAGAGTCTCCGCGATGGTCTCCTCGCTGTAAATTCCTACCGGACTGTTGTACTGTTTGTTTACGATAGACTTTATTGGACCCTCGCTCGTTCCGTTTAGCTAAAACACAAAGTATATTTGTAAGTTTTAAACATAACAACGTTTAGAATAGATCGAGCTCGTTTTTTTTCCTTACAAAATCTTATAAAAACTTGGCAATACGCTCATTATCATTATCATTATTATTATTATTATTATTATTATTATTATTATTGTTATTGTTATTAGTTTAATCAGTACCATGTATCTCTTATGTGTGTACGTACGAATGGCTTCGGACTGAAATTATGTCCACTTCCGATAAGTGGTGCATCCTGTTTCTTTGCAGCCAGGGACGTCTTCGTGACTGGGGTAATGTTACCAGCTGATACAGCAGGCGTTGGTGATGGAAGCGTAGACGATACCGGCGTCACGCTTGGTTTCCAAGTACTGCCGCCTCTACGTGAAACGATTAACACAGCTTAAAAAGTTTCAATCGGACAAAGAGAGAGAGAGAGAGACAGACAGAGAGAGAGAGAGAGAGAGAGAGAGAGAGAGAAAAGAGAAAGAAGAAAAGTTAACTCGATGTCGAGTTAGCATTTTTTACCTCTGCACGGTCATCTCGAAGTTGTTTCCAGCTCTAACGATGACATCCTGCGCGTCCTTGTGCCTCAGATTGTACATTTCCGTGTTGTTGACCTTAATGACGGCATCCCCGGCTCTGAGACCCGCTGCTTCGGCCGGTGACCCGCCATTGACCTGCAACGCGTTCAATTTCATTTATCTTTTTGTCTTGGAAGAAGGCTCTCTTGCAATTTTTATCGTCAATACTTTATCAATGATCGTCGTCGTCGTTCGTCGCCGATAGAAGGAAAAATTGTTCTCGGTGATTCGATCGTTAAATATAAAACAGTCGTACGAAGGGTTAACGATCCTTTTAATTCGAAAGAAATCCCGGGAAGGATCGAAGTGCGGATACGTCGCGACGACAACGCAACGACGACGACGACGACGAAGACGTCGGCTCGCTTCGCGTCTATTTTTACGTGCCCACGCTGACGTGCGTCTTCTTTTTCTTCTTCCTTTTCTTCCCTCCTTCTTCTCCTCTCTCGTACCCTCCGTCGTCATTTCGTCTTCTTACTCCAGACTTCCAGCCACTATATTTAAGTGCACGCGCGTCATTACGCTTCGCATCTCGGACACTGTGAGTCCATTCACGTGAAGAGACCGCAGGAGCGAGAAGGATGGAGATCGAGAAAGAGCGTGCGCGCGCGCGCGCGAGAGAGAGAGAGAGAGAGAGAGAGGGAAAGGAGAGAGAGAAAAAGAAAAAGAAAACCTTATCGAGATCATTGACTTCGAGTTCGAAGTGGCGTTTTCTTAATAGACCAATACTTAGAATTCCTAAGCAAACGAGTGTCTAAGCAAGAATAAACTAATTTATTTTCCACACACGACTCTCTCGTGGGAGTCGATTCATTTTCTCTTGACTTGAGATCTCTTTCAGATCTTATCCGTACTGACCTTTTACGATCTCGATCGATCACTTCGACTCGGCGTTACGACTTTAATGAATTAAAATCGATGGGATCGATTGCAATAAATCGACAATCGATATATGTAAAATATTATTTACGGAAGTCGTAGAAATTGATATGAAAATGACATGCTATGTATGTTACGCATAACTCTTATCGACACATCTCGATCCTAGGAAGGCGCGAGAATGATGCATTGGACCGCGACGAAAGTGATGAACGGCTTTCTGCGAATCTATTCGCTGCCAATGTATTGCTAAATGAGATAAGACTCGAACTATTGCCGAGAGAAAAAGCTATTTATAAATGAAGATCGTCGTTAATTAACCGATTTTTGACGTGCATTATTAATAACTACGGTAGGAGATATGTCGGTAACCGTTGCTTTTATATTTAGAATGTCAGGCCGATGCCGGTACGATCCGATTTCATCGATTAAAAAAAATTAAATGAAAAAGATCAGATACGAAAAATCGTAGACTAAATGAAACTGTAATGATATATGAAACCATAATAGCTCAAAGTTACTTTAGGAAGTGCGTTTCCGATTTCACTTGAACCCTAACATTCGGCTGTTATAGAAAACAATTAATGTTTCTCTATCCAATCGGAGAAGAGAATCGAACCGCTCTCTTGGAACCGCCTTTTCTATAAATACGAATCTAATTTATCGGTGTTATTTTTATTACCACTCCAAGAAGACGAATCCATGCTCTTTGGTCCAGCCACATTAATGTAAAAGAGAGACTGTCGTAGTCGTTCCTCTTGCTCGATAGACAGCTCATATTTTTTTATGTTCGTTGCGACGGAAGGAACGCGGAATGTATGTAGGTCGGATTCGTACGAAGCGAAGAAAGTAGAGAAAGAGAACGAGAAAGAGAAAGGGAGAGAAGGAAAGAGGAAAAGAAACGAGCGTCTGTTAAACGCGATCACTTTTAGAGATCCCAACCCGATGACAAACGATTACGCGAATATACTTTCTTATGCGTCATGCATTCAATTTCTGGGTGTCTGTCCTATGTTAAAAAGTCATGAAATACAAAATGAATATATTTTTCTACTTGCCCAAACGATACCATTCATTATTTCGTTCATGACAAATGGATAATTTCACGATACCTCTTCTTTATCATTTTTACGAACGATTAAAGCCATCTCAAGGAAATTGGATCAGGGTGTCAGTTGTTGTTTCGTTTCGTCGGATGTACCTACCTATTCCTGTAAATAGAAGTGCGAAATTGCGTCATTGGTGTCAGCGCGATACACAAGATTTGCCAAAACTCTGTGTGCTCTCTTCGCTGTTACGTCTGACTAATGATTTTTTCTTTCTTTTTTTTTTTTTTTTTTTTTTTTTTACAAAAATGCGATGCAACTTTTTTTTCTTTCCTTTCCTTTTCTCTTTTTTTTCCCTTTTTTAAGATAAAGCTTTCGATCTCCCCTATTCTCCTCTATCATCTTTACACACTTTCATTTCGTTTCACAGTCACGTCGTAAGTATAATTTCAAAGTGGGTTGGCACGTCGATTATATTCTCGTCGTCGGTTTGCTCACTTCGTGTCGCATTAAAACCGATCGACTTGAGGCAATTTGTCTACAATGTATGAATAGAAAGACATTGTCTGTCTCTTGTATTTTTTTTTCTTTACTATTCGACAAAGTTGAGAGACATTTTATCCATGGAACAATTTGACTTCTTTTCTTGGTCAGGTCATCGACACAAGATTTTAAGAACGATACGTAAGAGTATAGATGTAGTCCGAAGTGTCGACGAACGATACGGCGAAGATGAGAACGATGTCGATGAGAGTGTTGTCTCGTACGTAGGTCCTAAAGAAAAGACGTAGGACGTGGCCCGTAAGTCAGGGTTAAACCTGCTGGTAGGCACCGTGAAAGCTTGTCTCTAAAAATAGACTTGGACCGGTCTAAAAATAGGACTCGAATACGTATGCCGGATATACGAACATGCATACGTATATAGATATACATATATATATATATATATATATGTGTACGAGAGGATAGTGAAAAAGAGAGAGAAAAGAATGCACTAAGAGCGTGTACGCGCACGCGCACACACGTGTAACGAAAGTAGAAACCATCGAAGAAATATCATGAACTAGAAAATTACTTTAACGATTCTTTGACTCCGATCGCCATTGACACTAACATTGTTTGCAAACGTGTTCGATCTTAAAGTTTAGAAGAAGCCCTAACGAGGAGAGAAATCCAATGGGAATAAGGTAATTACAATTAGAGATATATATATGTAAGTTGGGAAAACAGTCGCAGACACGGTGGATGCACGGGTGGATGCACTTGAGTGCAGTCAAACCGAGAGAAGCAAAGAATTCACCAAGGTGTACGAGGTACGCATTCCAATGGGCGGGTTATCAGAGACGGATCCATCCCACCTTCCATGCTGGAATGCATCTCTGTCCTTTTTTCTCTATCTCTTTCTTCGAGGCCTTAAGGCCCGTTCATACGCGCGCTACTCTCAAAAACATCGGACGCGAACGTAGAAAGCCACGTAAGAGTACCTACCTACAGGCAGATACTTAACTATGTACACGCGTGTATTTCTTATTGGCTTGAGTTTATGAAAAAGTGAAAGCGTTTTTACGATCGCCGATGAATGTAGAAATCCGTGTGATCGTAGCGACTAATTGCGCGTATAAAAATTTTTATATTATCCCTTTCTCTCTCTCTCTCTCTCGTCTTTCAAAGATATTATCGACGCGAGAAAGAGCGATTTCGGATTTCATTTACATCAAGATGCTTTGGTTACATCTCAGAGAGAAATAGAAAGAGAATAGATGCAAATGTCGTTCCCACCGGGAATAAAATTCTGTCGTTAGTTGCCTCGCAGTCGGAGAATTTTACGATGATTTGTAGAGCAGAACGGAATCTGACACTAATGAGAGAGCAGTAAGGGAGGCCCTCTTGCCGCTAGTTACACCAGCCAAGGACTCATTAATATTTTCAAAGTTGTTATTAAAAAGGCTCTTGAGATAGCTTTTGACGTTTCGTATAACCATAGAACGAGAAAGGATGATTTTTATTACAGACAAGATATTTTAATACCCTCGGATCGACATGTGTTTTTAGAAAGTTTTAGACCACTCGTGTTTTGCGGTTGAATAGAGTCGAACGTATCAAGATGGACTTCCTGTTTTTGCGAAAATTGCAATGGCTACCCGTTCAACGTGATCTCGGAGACAGAAGAAGAAATAGACAATGACGTCAGGTCAAAATTATCGGTCTACGTCTGACCGGGTCTTATCTTTTCAAACAAACCGCACACCGTTCGTGCTATGGACTACAATAATATACATGTCGAGTATCCGCCTATGTGTTTTGTTCCCTCATATACATGCCACCACACATGTACGTTGGAAGAATCGCTTTACATGGAACTGCATTGAACATCGATGATGTTGCCTCAAAAGAATGTTCAATGTTACTCTAAAAGAGCAACCTGTATTTTTATTCGCCAGTTTAACGATTCTTAAACATGAAATTACGAAGAAGAATCGATGGTCATTTCTTTCTTTTCTTTTATTTATTCCTTTTCTTTTTTTACTCTATTTTTTTTTCTTTTTTTTTCTTTTTTTTCTTCTTCTTTTTTCTTTTTTTTCTTCTTTTTTCTTTTTTTTTTTTTTTTTTTTTTTTTACGAAGATCAGCGTAATTCAATTTCTATCGTTCGGAATGCCGATAAGATATTGTGCACTCTTGTAAAAGTACGCGCTTCAATTTCTTCGTGTACGCATAGATATGTAGATATATGTATGTATATATGTATGTATGTATAGTACATAAGCTTTAGCTATCCGTTCCCACCATCGGAAGACGAGGAGGAAGAATTTAGAAATATTTACTTCCAAACTAGAGTTAACAAAACGTGATTCACCATCGTTAAATGCTCCTCGAGCGAAAATTAATGAAATAAAAATATTATCTTTTTCTTATTTAGAAAATCAATGAAATACGATAATACGTACGTAAAGTTAGTTCGTAAAATAAAATAACGAGATCACAAATCCGAGAGTATAGATATTTTTTTCCCGGCCTTTTCCTTAATTTTAACGGCATTACGTCGCTATACTTCCAAAGCATCGTTATTCTGATCTAATCGCGACAACGTAATCATGATCCAACACTCTGCAAACAAACGAGAAAAGAACGATACCTGCTCCCTCGTCTTCTGGCAAATTTCCCACAAATCTATCCCTCTCTCTCTCTCTCTCTCTCTCTCTCTCTCTCTCTCTTCCTCCCTATTCTTCCACTCCCTCTCTCATTCCCGAAATCGAATCGGCATTTACGACAGGCGCTCCTAAATCCAATCCTCGTAAACGAGATAAAATTTCACTTACAATCCGTTCGACTTTTTATCGATCTCGATATATCTTTGCAATTTGATATATATATATATATATATATATGTATTTAATGTTTCAAGACAGGACAATCTTTTATATTTGTTCAAGAAATAAAAAATGAAAAGTAAAAAATCAAAAAAAAGAAATAAAAAACAAAAGAAAACAAAACGTGGCAATATATAAAAAGCAAAACGATTCCGGAAGAAAATAGTTAATAAATTATCGTGTCTCTTTGAGAAAAATTCAAGGGAACGACACGATACGATATCTCACGTGGCAAAGAGTAGAAGGTGGGTGGAAGATCGGAAAAAAAAGACGACGAGACTCGAGAAGACACGCGGTGAGAAATAAAAGCGATATTTTTATATCCACGGGAGTAAGCTCGGTGGCGTCCGGCAGCGGGCCTCGGCCTCTATTAATATCCACGGACCGGGCTTCCTCTCAGCCTCCGCAGCTTCGTCCTCTCTCTTTCTCTTACTTACTCACTCACTCACTCACTCACTCACTCACTCACTCTCACTCTTTGCCGCGAGCGAAGAGAAAACGATCGAACTACCAGAACTTGAAGATGAAGATGAAGAAGAAGAATTGTCGCGAGAAGGATAAAGTTTTCGTATGAAATTGCAAAGTAATATATAGTATGTTAAAAAAAAAAAAAAAAAAAAAAAAAGAAAGAAAGAAAGAAAAAAAAGAAAAAAGAAATAATAAACGTACAAAATAGAAGGTAGGAATCGTCGATCGAAATATAACTATTTATCAAAGTTATCAAACTCGATAAAGAAAAGATAATAATATAATGTGAGATTCTTTGGTAAAAAATGTACTGATCGAACGGTAAGAATGATTCACTTAAGCGTCTCGATCGACTCATGCATTTTCGTACCGTGTGCAAGCGAGCAGCCTCTCGTAATCCTCTGTATAACGCGCAACGTTTTGCCACTCCAGGAGGCTTGAGCCAAAACACCCACGTTTCGCGGACTTTTTTCTTTCTCTCTCTCTCTCTCTTTCTCTTTCTCTCTTTTCTCTCTCTCTTTCTCTCTGTCTCTATCTCTCTTTTTCTTTTTCAGTTCTTCCTTCTTTCGATTTCTCTTCGGTAAAGAGATTTTTCAACGCTCAGAACGAAACGTCACCTGACCCATGACAGCCGCCAAGTCTTCTGATTCACGGTCGAATATTCTTTTTCTTCTATTAAAACGTCAATCGGCCGACACACGAAATATGTTCGTTGAACGCTATCAAAATATATTGGCCATCGTAGTAGATACGTAATTAACGTTTAAAAAATACCGATAAGAAATTTCTAGAGTATGTTATTTCGAAAAATTTAATAATGAAAATTATTATAGCGAGAAAAGAGATTGGAAAAACGATTCGAAATCGATTTCGAAATAATTCACGATAAAAGGATAGTTAATTCATGATAGCCACGCTTTCTAGTAAACTCTTAGATATATATGATCGTTCCTTTCATTTTCTACGATTTTCACAAATAGCGAGAAGCTATTGAGCTCTCGATAGCTCGTTGACATCCTCGACGAAACTTGAATTTACTTATCGAACGAAACATTTATTCGTAGCTATATGGAGGAATGACAAGCAGATTCCTTGATGTCAGAGAGAGTGAGAGAGAGAGAGAGAGAGAAAAAGGGAGACGAGAAATCCGAGTACGATCCGAAATAAACTCACGCTCTCGTCTAGAAACGTGTCTTTCTTCTCTTCCTTTTGTATCGATGAGCGAATCGACGCAAATGCACGCAGCCGGCATCTTTCGATCGTCTGCTGATATTTCGTCGAACTTGTTTCTCTGATATTTCTCTCAATGAAAAAACGTTTAATTATGATTATGAACATGAAGGGAATAATTTAATAAAAAAATAAATAAGAAAGAACATAAATGGTAATAATAAAGATGAGAATATTCGTGAGAATCGATTAAGAAAAAAGAGTGAAAGTAATACTAAACGAAGTGATAGGTTTGTTGTTAGTATCGTTTCTAAGGACATATATGGAACATTCTAATGTGAACGATTTGAAAAGTATGAAAAATATTTCCAAGAAAAGGAACAAATTTCGATTTTGAATTATTCGTCGTATAAATATCGTCCATTTCAATCGAGATTCCAGCACCTTCCTGAGGATATTCCTTGTTCGAAGTAAGGAGCGCAATGTTAACTAGACTCAGTATAAACGCGATATTTGCGTTAAACCACCCACGTGTTGGCAGCTTACCAGCTGTTACCACATTCGTGTATTAACCTTTATCGGAAGGAACTCGTATTTCGAGATAAAATTGCCTCACATTTCTCTGATCGTCTTTCCAAACAAGATCGTAAGAAGAAAAATTCTAGTATCTTATCTGATATTTTCGATTTTGTAAGCTGAAAGCTCTTTTGGCACGTCGAGGAAGATCGTTCCTTGTTTCTTGAACGATTTGAGCATTTAAACTTGGCGCCATTTCTTACTCGCACTCTCTTTTCTCTCTCTCTCTCTCTCTCTCTCTCTCTTTCTTTCTTTTTCATTGCGTAATTTTGATCCAAGACACGAAAGCTGTGTAATGTCAAGTGCGTTCTCGTGAACGGAATTCTTCCTGGTCTGATGCCTATCTTGTAGAATTTCTTTGAATAAAATTACGAAGATAAAAATAATTATAACGATTATCAAATTATTTTTTATCATTAAATTATTTTGAAAGTTTTAATAATCCAAGCATGAATCGGCTGAAATAATGATTGCATACATTACTTTTCTAAACGTAAACTCAAAGCTACAAAGTTACGAGCGAGGAAAAGGCGACGTTATCAAATGGACGAGGCCGCAATCGAGCGATGGAATTCGCTGTGAGTCCTTCCTCGATGCGATAGCGCACATTCTATGCACGTGCATCGTCCCCAAACGAAATATCGCATAACATGCTAAGCGCCCACGTTACGCCGACTATATCGTGCCTAGCGTAATCACGAAAACTCGTTTGTAATTAGACGAATGGAAAAGACTAGAAAACTCTTCATTAATTTTACATCTATTTTGGGTGCGATTTTTTCTAAGAGAAAAAAGAAAAGAAAAGAAAAAAGAAAAAGAAAGAAAGAATAAGAGAAGAAAAAAAGTCTAGCTAATCGATACGATAAAGAAAAAAAGATAAATTTCCTCTCTAAATCTTATCTTCGTTATCGTTTATCTATTCTTATTTCGCTACTTTGTCCGCATCTGTTCATATATTTACTTAATTCTATATTTACTTATGCTTTTAGGCTTATTAACTAAAAAGTAGTAAGCGGTAGAGTCTTCCGCCTCTTAAAGTTACGATAAGAACCATTGTTTATCGCGGTACGGCCTTGGGATTATAAATTGACCATACGTAACTTTTGTACTTTTCAAAGCTACAAATAAAAAGATCGGCCGATTGTCAATGATTTTTAACGACGTTTATAAAACCAATTGGAAAATTAGATTAGTACTCGTTTAATACATATACAAATATACATATGTATATATGTATAGATACGTACGTAGGCATGTTCGATACTTTGCAGCAGCATCCGTTTTAGAATCTACAATGTAGACGAGCGCCCGTAAACTTCCTGCGCTTGTCAGAGATAAATGTCAGAAGGCGTCTATTAGAACTTCATCTTGGACTCGAAACTAGCTTCATCTCGGATCGAACACGTGACGATATTATACCGAGATTGCAATCTTGAACGATGGATTAGCTATCTCGAATGTCATTTCTTCTAACAATTCGAAGAATAGAATATACACGATCTAGGAAAAGTCTCTCTTGGGAAATGAGAGTTCCAAGACTCTCGAAGTATTTACTTCCGCGGAGAGATAAATAAGAGAGAAACAGAGATAGAGATAGAGTTAGAGATAGAGAGAAATCACATCAAGTTAAGAGTCGTCGACGTCGACGGCGTCGTCTTCGTCTTGAGCGGGGCTCGACCCGGCTTGCGAGTTTCGCAAAGGCACCTTCTAGAAATAGAACGCCCAAATAATTTGCCTCGGATTACCAGCGACGCGCCGTTCTCTCTCTCTCTCTCTCTCTCTCTCTCTCTCTCTCTCTCTCTCTCTCTCTCTCGACACCCTTCCACCATCTCCCTTACGTTTCCTTACTCTGACGCTAAGTGACTTGGACTTTCTCTCTTTACTTCCGTCATTTGCAAATCGTCCCTTTACACCATTTTCTCTTTTCTTTTTAATTCCATCTAAATAACGTAGGTATAAATTCGCGAGAGAAGAAAAAAAAACCGACAGAAAGAAAACAAAAACAAAACAAAAAATAAAGAAAAAATAAAAAGATCAACCGGTTTGTCGAGTTTTCGTTAAGAACTACAAGATAAATATTATTTCCTTGACAGCCTTTTATTCTTTATTTAATCGATCAATAAGGAGGAATCGAAAAAGAAAGATAAAATTTGTCGAGTATAGTATCCTCTGAGAGTGGGTGTTTCAAACGCAAATCTTACATCGCACTCATATTTCTCTCTCCTTTCCAAGAAAGCCTGAGGGCGCGGGTAGACGGCCGTATTTGCGGGATCGTAAAATAAACGGAGCACCGTAAGAAGAAGGCCAAGTTCGTAACGTCGATTACAAAGAAAATGTCTTTACTCCCGATCGACTATTCAAAGCAATCTGATTTTATATGAATGACAGGAAAGGACGTTAATTATTTGTTGGGATCAACTCTGTCAAGCAAACGAGATTTTCTTTATTGCGAATTTGTATTAAAGTAGTTAAACTGAAACGATCGTTCATTCTAATCTGTCAACGATGATCGTTCTCAATGATCGTTTCTACAATGATCATCGCGATGATCTTTAGTACGATCTCGACGACAGAAGAAAGTCCGATACTCGTAGGAGCATCCCCCTCGTCATTCGAACATCGGCCAAAAGCTTCTCGTATTACCAACTCGCTTCATCGCCAAAACACGACGGTTGCGACGAGCCGAGCGTTTCGCGCGTAGTTGGCAAAGATTTCTACCGATGCGCGTGAAATAATTTGGCGTTTGCTTCCTCGGCCTTACGTAATACCATCGTCAACTTTATGGACTCGTCGGCGAAGAGTAGAGACAAACAAATACGACATTAGCTCATGGTCGCTTTCGATTATCAAACAATTTAGGAGAATGCACGTATTACGAGTAAGCTATGCGCAACGTATATCTTTACTAATGACGACGATGATACCAAGAAACGATATGATTTCTAACTAATCGTTAATATGACGAAAGAAATATATATATATATATATATATATATATATATATATATATATACACATTTATATAGTCGATAATCTATCCAAGAAATAATTCGATCTGACCGTTCGTCGAAAGTCGATCTCAAAGTTAAAAACGATCGGTTAAATCGTGATCGAACGGTCCTTGATCGAGAAATGAAAAAAACTAGGCGCCAGTCGAGATCGCGGTGTCGTTCGACTTTCCATATCCACGAGGATAATTTGGTCTACAACCGGATTTTCCAAGATACGAATACGATCGTGTCTATCCTAGATACGGTAGCCTGAGTAAATGTAAATTGCTTGCCGTTAATTGAGCCTTCCACGCGCTATAAATTTTAATCGTTTAATCTTCTATGCATCGACACGCCTTCGATCCTAACAAAGTATATAAGTTGGATATCTTGCAAACTCGTTGATTGTACCTAAACATGCATGAGTAAAAAAAGAAAAAGAAGAAGGGAAAAAAGAAAAATAAGACGCACATACCTTCTGTACGATCAATGGAGTGCCGAAATCCTTGCCACCTTGAAGACGAAATCCCCAAGGTGATCCATCGAAGCGGGAAAGTTTGACGCTTATCAGCTGTGCCATATCACTGAACTCGCTTGATCCCTTTTCTTAATAACCAAAAAAAAAAAAAAAGTAACTCTCTTTCCCACCGAAAACTACGTTTGTTATCCGATTTATCCGGGTCCGTGTTACAAAATGAAAACGACAAATTAATTTCAACGTTCCCTAATGAATTTAAGAGAGAACGTTTCTTTTTTTTAACGTCGATCTATATCCTAATCTTTCTTTCTTCTTGATAACGCAACGTAATTATTACTCTCTTGGCTATTAAAAAATTATTTACGCAGTGAATAATTATTATTAAGCACGTTTATGCGTTTTTGAACGAAAAAAAAAAAAAATAAAAAAAAGAGCAATTATCCTCGTATAACACGTTTTGCACACCAATGTATCTTTTCTACTATTCTTCCTCGATCCTCGTCGATCGACGTGCGAGAGCTTACTGGAGGGAGCGCGCGCTCGGAAGAGGAACGGCACAAACGTTCCCGAAGAACGCGCAGGCCGGAGTAAAGGTAGCGAGGACGGTCAGTCGGGCAGCGGGGCCTTACGTGCGATTTCGAATGGTACGACGGAGTGGAGGAAGGAGGTAGAATACCGTCGACTGCTGGAGGGGATAGAAGGAGGGTGTGCTGCCTCCTCTATATATATGTATATATATGGATTGTAGAAGAGAGAGAGAGAGAGAGAGAGAGAGAGAAAGAGAGGGAAAGAGAGAACGAGAGTACTGTCCTTCTCTTCTTCCTCTTCTTCTTCTTCTTCTTCTTCTTCTTCTTCTTCTTCTTCTTCTTCTTCTTCTTCTTCTTCTTCCTCCTCTTCTTCCTTCCACGACGCGACGACGACGACGACGACGATCCTGCTACTTCGACATTCTCGACATTTTATTTGCTCCTTTTCCCTCGAAAACTTCTTCTTCTTCTTTTTCTTTCTCTTCTTTGCTGTCTCCTGTAGCTTCGCAAACAAGAACACTTTGGCCGATCTATGCAACATGCTGCGTTCACACTCTTATTTCGTTTCTTTTACTTTTTTCGTTTTCTTTCTTTCTTTTACGTGATTTCATGAGGTTCGTCAGAAATTAATGGAAAAAAAAGAAAAAATAAATGAAGAAATAAAAATGAAAAAATAGAAAAAGAAAAAGAAAAGGAAAGAGAAACGAGGAAAAACAAAATATAGGAACATCAGGATTATGGAGTTTCTTCTTTTCGGCCTTTTTCGTTCCCGCATCAAGAACGGAAATGTATGCAGAAGCGAGCTGCATGAATCGACGTTACCGGATACCCGCGTGCATGTATCGTAGCGCGACAATAAAACGAACGTTCTTAAATGCAGAAACACGTCTGGTATCTTCCCTAGCAGTTCGAAAGATCCTACTGCGATATGAGGGTGGACGAACGGCGCCTTAGTCATCGTTTCTTGCAGTCAATGGGTCATCCGAGGTCATGAATGGGATAATCGGCCGTTAAATAAAATTCTTCCACGATATCGAACGTTCTATAGTAAAATTTGCAACGTCAGTGACGGATCATATTTGACCTTGAATCTTCACCATGGAACAAGTTGAAAAACGAATCATCGATTGTGAGTGCATCGACGTTCTCACAAAGGAATCATCCAAAAGTCCCTGAAAATAAAAAAGTTGTCTATTCAATGTTACGAAAGAATACAAATAAAGAAATTTGTCGTGAATGAATAAAGAAATAGTTTGTTTCTTTCATAAGATCGACCTACTTATCGATTCGAAATTGTATCTCTCTGTTGTAGGATAAAAACCTCTTGAAAGATAGGAATAAAAACGAGGAAGACACGAGACGGATCTCGACGGCACGAGACTTCGGTAGACTTCGGTAGAAAGAGACGAAAAGACCTGCATCCCCAGGTGCAACGCACGCCACGGCGGTTGGACCGTTGCACGGTTCTCTTTCTCTCTTTCTCTCTTTCTCTTCTTCGTAGCTGCATTCTGCGCCGGTGGCGGTCACGAGGGCGCGAACTAGTTCGTGAATCATGCCTAGAATGCTTTACATAAATTGCTCGGAGCCGACGTCACGCTCATGGAGCGTAAGCACCGGCATCCTCTAGATGAAGAAGAAGAAGAAGAAGAAGAAGGAGAAGAAGAAGAAGAAGCAGAAGAAGAAGAAGAAGAAGAGGTAGAAGAAGAAGAAGAAGAGAAAGAGGAGGAGAAAAGGAAAGAGGACGAAGATGGAACGGACGTAACGCAGACATGACTCAACCGGATCGTATGCGGTTTACTACGAATCAAGAGAGGTACTTCGTGGTAATCCCGGAAAGGTGAAAGTACGAGAGACTCATCCGAAGAAGTAGCGGAATCGCCTCCGGAAGCGCCTCCGGCATCAAACGGCCATACTTCCTTTATGTCCGTTCTTCCACCGAGTTTGACTCGTTTTAATGACGTAGCTCTTGTAACAGTCAAGAAAAGACGTAATCGATAATAGGAATCTATTTGCGAAGGACCTATAACGATTTATAGATCGTTTCTGATTTCATGTTTGAAAATTTTCGTACGATATCAGTCGTAATTAATCTTCATTGTCTAGAAAAGTGTGAAAATCGACTAGTAGTCTAAAAGCTTTCGTCTTGATAAGATCAATTATTCGTTAAATATCTAGTAATTGCAAGTAGAACGAGAAATGAGGTCTCTTTGATTCATCGACGTGGTTAATGAGTTTAAATGGAAATGAAGTAATTAAGAAAGACTTTCGACTAATACGGCGATACCACGTTCAAGTTTGTAATCGCTTCCACGAATCGTCGTACGATTCGTTTTACATACCAAGAAAAACTATTAACATAATTAACGAGAACTCAGTTACTTACTTACCGATGGATTTCCTCTTATCGTTGATCAACAAGATGTCCCTAAAATGGATAACGTAATAACATCTACAAAGTGAATTTTTCTTTTATTAACGTTATACACTTAATTCTTAATCGAATCTACGAGAGCAAAAAATATGCCGAAATATGCATGGGTTTATATAAGGGATGTGTGTACAACACACGTGCTCTTCACACTCGATCGCATTTAATCTCGTGTCTACGATCAAATATTTATACGTATTTATGTAAAATCATTCGGATAAATTAACCTTCGATTATTGGTTCGAATATTGATGACGTGCTTCTCGTGAAACCAAGGTTAAAAAAAAAAAGAAAAGAAAAAAAAAACATTTTCGAATATCTCAACGCGAACACCTTTCGAAATTCTTTCTTTGATTCCTCTTGCGACTGTTGGCTGTTTCCTCTTATTTCGATCGTCGACACGGCCGTTCGATGATCTCATTCAACTTGACGTCTCTTCCATTAGTGACTAATACTTCGAGTACTTCTGTCATCGGCAAGGCTGAATACCGATTATTTCTGAAAGAGAGATTAAAGAAAGCTGGCGTATGTATGTGCAAGAAACCCGATTGCCTTTCGTTAAATATCGTTTGTCACCACGCAACCAGGACTCTCACGTTTCGAACTTACGTTAAAAACTTACGACTCTCTCGATTATGTCCTCGGCGGCATTTACTTTGGGAGGCCTCGCGGGTATACCTTTCTTCGGTTCGCGTTCCATCTTATGAATCATCTTATAGACACTCGAGTTCATCAGATGATCGTAATTCGGTAGATTTGTCTTTTCGTATTTCTTAAAGTTTACCCTGCACGTAAATGGAAACATAGCGAATTAATTGAAAGCTTCGCGTAAAAGTGTATAATTAGTCGGTAATTAGCGACCTCCATTACCCAAGTGCTTTCCCGCGAATAACTTCCGCTTGAGAGGATAATACTTCGGCTATCATCTCGTCGTTGAAGAAATCGTTTGGACATCTCCATCTACGACCAAACGTGAGTTCCAATTGTTTAGCCTGGGGCCAGAGATCTTGCGAATGTTTTCTCCCTTTCCTGTACTAAAAATGTAACGAGTGAATTAGAAAGTGAGTTAGAAAACAAATTCTTTTACACGTACGCGGACACAAATAGAAGAGACGATGGAATACAATATATCGAAGACGTTCCAAGGTTGCACGTGCGACACGGGGAAATAAGATATTATAATCTATCCTAGATTATCTTTAACCTAAGAAGACTTAAATCCAATTGGAATACGTTAAGTACGATACGAAGGGATATAGTTCGACAACAAGGTATCACTTTCAAACATTATTACTGAAATGTTTGAATAGTGAACGTGGTATGAAATGCATGGGAAGAAGAAAAAAAAGAAAAAAGAAAAAAGAAAAGAAATGTTGGATGGTGTGTTCTCCAACGTTTAAACACAAAAAAAAAAGATAATGAAAAACATTCCAGTGAAACTTCGCAATATCCCTCATTCGTATACCTGCAACTCCTGAATAACTTGATCTTTCGGTGACAGGTTTGGATCTGGTTCAAAACTACCTATAATGGTGCATAAGAAGGTATAATAACTATTTCCTCGTTCTTTCACGTAATCACGGACGCTTCGTTGATAATAGATTAATAATAATAATAACTAGATCTATAATGATTGAATAAACGATTAGGTGTCATATAACGATAGATATTTACCATAGGAAGGCGCTGGACTAGCTGTTCTCGATCTCATAACTTTGGTTTCGTACGAAACAACGAATTTCTTGACCCTACTACCTTCGTCGTCGCTACTTCTTATGGAGATCGTACCATCCAATTCTCTCGTTTCGGTTTCTTGTTCTTCATCGTCAGTAGTTTCTATTATCCGTGGTGGTTCTTGCGACATGGCGGTCGATGGTCGTTCGGATCGCGAAGTTTCCACGTCATCCTCTTCTTTGATATCTTCCACTATCGGTAATTCTTCTTTACTTTCTCGAGGACACTGCTTTGCAGCGACGATTTCATCTTCTGAAAATACACACTTTCGTCAATAATAGAAAGCGAGTAATATATCCCTAGAGATTTCAATGACAAAATTCTTGTGACGAATGGCGCTTTCTCAAAGATTCGAAAGTAAAAAAAGAAAAAGAAAAAACAAAAAAGAAAAAAAGAAAAAAAAAGAAAGAAAAGAAATGAAAAGCGAGAAGCTTGAATATATTTATATTATAACATAAGGCACATAAATAAACAAGACGAAAATAGCCTTCTAGAAGGATCGAGCGCGAATATCACGAAATTTCATTTCCAACAAGACTTATAAACATGCTTACAACCAAAACTCATGACGGATCGATCATCTTGGTTACAACCCACTTCCTACCAACGACGATCTCGTTTACCGACAAGTTTACCACTCGAGATCTTTTAATCACGATCCAGAATGAGCTTGGACGATTTGGCAATGGAAGTCGTATTCGCGAATCGCGCGTAGGCGCCGGCTCGTTTGGCTGGCGTTCAGAAATCTCGTTCATCGGCTTGGAAAGTGAGGAAAATCGATCAAGGCTGATTTTCACCTGACGATCCACGACGGCTACCGGCGGTGCTGCCGCCGTTTTGAACCCCGCTCAGCTCCATGATCATCCTCAGTTGCTCCGACACGACCCTAAGGTGATTCTCGATCTCGCTCGGCAATTGCTTCAGGGCGAGCAACTGACTCTGCACGTTCTCCAGTTGTTT